TTCTGCTTCTTGGTGAATGCTATAGTGTTGAAGTCCAATGAAAACTATGGCGACTTTTTTCCTTCTAAATTTTTAACTCCAATCACAAAGAATTAAAATTTAAATAACTTTAACATCATAAGATAGAATATGGTAATTTATTCGAGCATGACCTTATATTTTCCAACACAACGGTAAATGTTTTCGTGCCATTTGGATGATCTCGTGCTGTGGTAATTGAAACTAACCGGCCCGTAAGATCTGGAAATAAGAATTGATCAGTGGTCAAATCACAAACAACTATATAATAATTGAATACATAACATGCAAATAAATAAGAATGACCTTATAAAGTATGTTGAGTGGAGACACGAGATGCACAATGAAGAAATGAAGCAAAGATTCATACTAAAATGTGAAACAGAATAACACGATTTCACAATGAATATGTTACAACAAGACAATACGAGAATCACGATTAAACTATTAAACATTGTAGAAACGGAGAATCAACTCACTTGCTAAATGTGTACGATCAGATAGCATGGGACGTAAGTCTTCAAACTCAGTGCCTTTAAAACCTTCAATAGGGAATTGATAAATTGGAAAATCTTTCCGCAAAACATTATTGTCAGGAATTTCAATAAATTGATATGCCGACACAATATGCAAACGTAAGTCTCCTAGGGCATATCGGTTCCTCTCTCTCGCAATAATAAGTGGAACATGTGATAATATATAAATACAGTTCATTGTTATCGAGTATTTGACTGCTTTAAAATGCCTGGCCATTGTAAGGCCTTCTATAGTGTCCTCCTACAAAAAGAACATGTTGGCAATTAGTCAAAATTAAAGAAAGAACATAGTTTGAAAAATGATTAGATTGTAATTACATTTTTGTCCACCCATAGAGTGCAAAATGCAGGTGTACGGTTAGTACCAAAGGATTCCCTGGCCTCCCACTGGTGAATGAGTCTCACAACCAATGGTTGGTGTAGGACATCCCCGGATAAATCCCGGATAGTAATTGATGAATTTATGGGATCTGCATTAAAAATAAACAACAACGTATATGAGGTACACTGCTTATAAGATAAACTTTTTAACTTAGATCAAGGGTATGAAAATGTCAACCGATAAAATATACGAAAACTTAGAAAATGAAGGGAATAAGCCCCATCCAAATATGTTGCATTCGTAAGAACCAACCTTATAGGAATGAAAATGGACAGCTATTTGGTGGTATAAGAACATGCAATTGCATTACACGTATCTAATAATACTTGTATTGTGCATCAACAACGTACACCAACCATAGGGACCCGAGCATAGTATGCGTCTTTTTCGCATTGAGTACAAGCAAATAAAATAAAAAAGAGCTCACCTAGACGAGATCAAAAGCCTCCCACAATGCATGTACGGGAAAACAATAGTGCACACTGACTATAGGAACCCAATAATAGTGTACGTCTATTTCATATTGAATACAAGAAGATAAAATAGAGAAGAAGACCCAAGCATAGTGTACGTCCCTTTCATATTGAATACAAGCAGACAAAATAGAGAATAACTCACCTAGTACCCCAAGGCCCAAGTTCGAGAATTCAAGCAGAAAGAAGATGTGATGCCTGGTTTCACATTTTGATGGGTCTGACCGATCAAGACTTTTTGACCATTTTGGTCTGTAACCATTGATTTACTGGTTGGTTGTTGCCCTGCCCGTCTATAGATTGAAGACTGTCCATCCACTTGCTGTCGTAGATGTATAGGTGAAAATACCTACATTCTGATGGCATTTGTTTCTTATAGTAACAAAAAAGTTATAACCATAGTTTAGAGTTTATGTTACGTCGATTTCTTCTGCACAGTCGCTTCTGCTTTCTTTTACTAACTATTATTTGACGAACGATACCTACTATACATCTTCATGCCTTGAATTTATAATAACCAAATCGGTGCAACCATCCCCTTATTCTTGTTGGATTTAACTGATCTTTTTGTACAGTTCACGATTTTCTTTCGAATAAAATAACTGTGTCGAGTAACCTTGTACATGGGCCAAACAAAAGAAATTATTGATATTAATTCATTTTATTAATCTCCAAACAAAATTTATATCAATCTTAATACATACATATATCATTACCTCAATTTCATATGTCACTCACTACAAGAGATGTCTGGGCCAAAAAGAAAGTCTGACAAGAACAAACAGAGATTAGGAGACATGATCTTATCAACCTGGAAGGGAAAATAGTAGAAATGAAACAAAACAAAAAGAGATCGACAAGAGTAATTAACCTCAACAGGACAGGGAAGAGCGAACAAAAGAACAGAAAACGAAAAATAGGAAAGAAACGAAGGACAAGAAATCATAATATGATCGAGAGGCCACGCAAACATGACAGCACGACAAAGACCTTAACGGTTGTTCTTATCCGAATCAATTTCTTAGTTGATTTTCGCTTCGGTCGCTACCTCCAAATATCACAGGGTCACAATCCATCGTCGACGCTCCGTGCCTGGGTGTTCCTTTAGATTCAAGCTTCCCCGGAAGTAGATCGGTGGCGGTTGGAAATTGGGAATTGTCAGTACGATTCTTTGCTCGAAGTTCGATTTGTTGTTCTCTTTTGCATGCAAATTTTAGCCAAAGCGTTTCTGAGTTTTTTTGAACCATGAATTGGATGTTGATCGCGATTCATGCAGGTTCTAAGTAGCTGGCTAAAAAGTTGATTTGAGTAAGTACCCAGAATATTTAGCATATTTATCCAGCTACTGTAATATTTAGTTTATGGTTGAATCTTGATTTAGGTAATCGAAAGTGACAACAACTTTCATGTACATTCACCATAGCACAAGAAGTATGAGCATATTTTTTGAATGATACAGTGGACTTTATTTGGCAATGAATAAACAGACAACAAAATTGTGTGAGTTCGGCGAAGAAAGCGAACTCTTCGCCAATCTCTAGAAGAGTGGTCAACGAGGACCTGGCGAGGAAGCACTCCGACCAGCTAAACTCCGTCGTCAGGTACCGGTCATGTCGAGACGTGCCCCAGCCTTTCTACATGCAGCTCCATGCTACCACCGTCACCATGTGCCCTTCATGCTAGTGCGTCACCACGACCAACACCTCCACCGCTTTCGCCGCTCGCGCATCCACCTCCCCCAGCCCAATCACCATCGTGGTGGCTGTTGCCACAGACGACACCAACAATTCATCAACAACATTGTCTTTCGGTAAACTTGGCAGTGGCGGTGAAAGAAATGGCAGCAACACTATTGTGTGCATCAGCTCCACATCAACAGTCTCAACCTACCCAACCAGTCGCGTCATGACTCAAAAAGGAAGGCTACAGCTCCTCATAAACCACATGAAATGGTTGGGGATAATAACAATGAATTCCATGAAATAACCATCCCATGAACAATTATGCAACTGTAGAAGAAACAAGTAGAAAAAAAAGAACGAAAGAGCACCCAACGGCTCGATAAAGGAAGAAAATTGTGAGAATTCCCTTCAAAGATATGAAGGGTTTTATAGGAATGGAAATGGACAGCTATGTGATGATACCCTTTCATATTGTAAGAAGATAAAATAGTGAAGAAGACCCAAGCATAGTGTACGTCCCTTTCATATTGAATACAAGAAGATAAAATAGAGAAGAAGACCCAAGCATAGTGTACGTCCCTTTCATATTGAATACAAGAAGACAAAATAGAAAAGAACTCACCTAGTCGCGTCCGCAGGGGAGGATCTCCTCCTTAGCTACAGTTTGCTTCCGTTCAAAATTATATATTATAATGGCCAAAATAGTCTTCATTTCCACAGTAATTTGGTTCTTCATTAGTTAGGTTACAATCTCTTTCATTTAGCAGTGTGTGTGGTCACCACTAGGGCTGCAAACGAGCCGAGTCGAGTCGAGTTTTTGCTTAGCTTGAGCTCGGCTCGTTTATTAATTTTTCAGCTCGAGCTCGGCTCGAACTCGAATTTTGATAATCCAGCTCGAGCTCGAGCTCGGCTTGAATAAAAATAATCTAGCTCGAGCTCGACTCGGTAGAGCTCGATAAATGCTCATTAACATAGCTTGTTAAGCTGAGTACAAGCTCGGCTCAAGATGAGCTCGATTTAAAATCATTTTTGCTGGAAAAATGTATAAACATAAGAATTTAAATGATAGAAAGAACACTAGAAACTAGAAATAACATCTAAATTTCATACACATCTGTATTATAAGACAATGTTCATGTTTAAAAGAGTAATTCATCCTTCCACAAACTCAAAACAAGGCAGCTCGCGAGCTTAGCTCGACAAGCCACCGAATCAAGCTAGCTCGCGAGCTTATCAAGCTGAGCATGGTCTAGCTCAGGCTTGGCTCGTTAACTAACGAGTTGGCTCGCGAGCCGGCTTGTTAAATAACGAGTCGAGTGTCGAACGAGTTTTTTCCGATTCGAACGCCGAGTTGCTCGCAAGCGGCTTGGCTCATTTGCAGCCCTAGTCACCACCCTCTGCTCTTCTGCTGTGATGTGAAAACTGAACCATCGCGTACTTTTTTTGGAATCAAATACCAGAATAACGCATAAGGAGTATTCAGGTCCCCGCCTACAAAGGAACAGACAAAGCTGGACCAGCCATAGGGGTATAATTTCGTAGAGGACCATCAACCACATTTTTAGCAGAGATGTTGTGAGTAAAGAGATGAATTTCTTCAACCTTTTCTCAGTTCCGGCATTAAAAAGTTGTTAAATTTCACACAGCGAATTAGGGGATCCGACACAAGGAGCTATGCATGCCTGTATGGCTTCGATCACCGCCGCTTAAACTAGGTGTACACATCACACACACAACAGAACTCGTTGCTACTACAGAAAATGAACTAGCCAATAGCCATGAACCTAGTATGACACAGAGAATGAGCAAGGCTTCTGCACTCTACCTCAGATTAGCGGATGGAGAATAAAGTAAATCACGGCAAAGAGTATGAACTCAGAAACATTCCTAAACCTCAAGGCCGAAGACGTTATGTTTGGCCGCCTCCATTATCAGATGCTTCTTGTGCATGTGATGGTCGGGCAACTTCTTCTAGGTTGCCAGTCGGAGTGAAGGCCAATTCAGAAACCAACGCGATATGGTCGCTCCCCCATTTCTGGATAATACGATGCAAGCAAAAGACATGATTGAAGTAAAGTTCACTTCGAAATCAACATATTTGATGCTTCAAATGACTAATTAATGTGCTCATAAGGTTGAGAATCTGTGATCTCAACATGTAGCAGTCAGGTGCACAATCATTGAGCAATTCATGCCTAACAGTGTTCCATTACTTTCAAACAGATAGCCACCCTTGGTTTTCCATTTTATTAAGTTTTTTCCTAGAACAGATATTAATTGAACAATGTCACATACCTTTGTCGGGAACCCAGTTGTCCACTGCATCGCGCGTTTTGGTATCGGAGCAAGTACACCCACAGTCTGCAGACCTTTTGAAAACCTGTAGTTCCGAAAGAAGGTTGCTTTATCTTATTCTTGAAAAATAAAACAAAATAAAAAAGACCATGTTACATGTCCTGTTTATATTTTTATGTCAACTCATCAAGCAAGGCCTAGGGTCATGATTGGGAACTCTACATGCAGCAGTCTGTATGAAGACTTTACCATGGGTAATACACGAAAGACCAATCTACAAGCTGTCACTGCATTTTAGGGAATCCATAAGGAAGAGCAAGTTGTCGAAGAAATCATTACCATATGTAGTCAACTGTGCCCAAGAAATGCCTGTTGTAGCTAGTCGCCTCAGGTTCTCCATTAGAGGAATCTCTTGTTCCTGAATGGTTCTGGTCGCAACAAATATACATGGAACTCTGTTAATCACGCACAAAAACTTCAACTGGTCTACATGAAGTTAAAACCAGAAAGTTTAGTTTACCTCAACTTGTGTATAAGCGCTTCTAAGAGTTAAAGGATGCTGTAAGCAGGTACAGTCTGCGTCACCTGTAGCAGTAGCTATTTCCGTTGGTGTCCAGATCGATGGATCATAGATAGTAACCTCATCAACAACTTCCACTAAGTTCTGATTCTCAGAAAAATCATTGGCTAACTCATTGGTTGGCGAATGCACCTTAGACTCATCATTTGGACCCGTTCTAAATTCTCCACTGGACTGATCTAAATCTGAGTTTGCAATTTCAGAGAAGGTATCGTTAGTTTCATGCAGTGAAGCTAGAAAGCTGCTTTCATCTTCACCAGTTATGGAGAATTCAGACTGGAACTTGCTGAACACTTGTGAAAATTCGGATTCTAGACTATCTTCTCCTTGGTTGACGCTAATAGATACACTTGTACTGTCAGAAATTGGCTGTAAAGAATGAAATGATCTGCTTCCAGAGCAAGATACTTCATGGGATAATGAGAGATCCTTGAAGTTTCTTCGGGTATCTTCTATAGAATTACTTGACTCGTGACTTTGACCCACAGTCATACTAGATCTAGAATCTGATTCTTCCCTTCTCTGTAGAACTTCAACTGAAGTATTGGGCGAGTGAGTCCTGAAAAAGATTTGCCACCCCTATTTTGAAGACCGAGTGTGAAGTAAGTTAAGGAGAACTTTGTAAAAAAATTTGACCTACACCCACTCACCCAGGACTAGAACTATGATTGGGTTTAGCACCAGAATAGACTGTCCTTGTAGGAGCTCGAATCTCTGCAGAAGCCTGTCCTGATACCTTATCTCTATCGACTTCAGACAAATCTAACTGCAAAATGTCAATAAAACCAATGCCACAGTTACAGTCTCAATCATCAACAAGATTACACTAGATACAGAGAGGAAAATAGCGTACCTTCTGTTGGGAGATGAAGTTGTACAATGGACTCTGATTCAAGAAACACAAACATCAAATTTGCACGAAACGTGCTGAAGTAAAATGACATTTAAGAGACTTTAAAGGGAAGCCGACGGCAGCCCCATGGAGGCTTGAAAATCTGAACTCTAAACTAAGAGAGAAGGCAGAGGCGAATCCTCTTGAAAGAGAGGGGTGCCTTTCGTGAAATTTGATAAAAGAAAGGCGCATTAGCGGTTAATACGTTGTAATTTGATAAGTTATTAGGAATATGACGGAACGAAAGACCAAGGAAAGAAAGAAGAGTACACCAAAATGCAGGTGCTGCACCAAACGCTGGTGGTTGCTTCTTGTTATAAGTGAATGCAACGAAAAGGCCCGGAAATAACGAATAATGAAACAATTCATATATTGACATTGTTCATTTAAAAATTTCTGCTTTGACATATCACCTTTGGAGTACAGTTGAAGTCGCCACAAAGAACAACTGGAGCATCATTCCACAATTTTGACACAGCATGAGCCTTTTCAAGAAGCTTTCTCACCTGATGAGAAGGTATGTTGATTAACGAAGAAAAGCACCAGAACTATTTATTTAATGGAGCAGCACAATATTCTATAAGGGCACATTGTTAGCGAAACAGTTACATGACTCAAAGCTACATAAAAGACATGCTCAACATGATGTAATGTAAAGAAGAACATAGTTCGATAAATCTACTGGTAATAGAAAACAAGCAAATGACTTAAAATACAAAAGTTTCCAGAGTGTTAGTACCTGACCGATCTTTATTTCACCCCTTCTAGGATTGTACAGCACATGAATGTTGCATACAACAACTTTATTAGAACCTGCTGAGCTGTAAACATAGTCCATTAGCTTAGATCATAGATAAGGGGAGAAATGAAAGAATCAGGATATATAGTAGTAAATGCTGAAATGACAAATCAAAGTTAAGGTGGCTAATCGTTGGCTGTGCTACTAGCTGGCAATCTACGGCTCAAGAGAGCACAAATTTCAGTACAACTTGCTAACGTGAATCATTGCTGACTCCATTATTATCTCAAGCGAATGTGTGTGGGTTCCTCACATACAACTGGTTACTTCCTGCTTTGTGGGTTATTACCTAGCTGGATTGTAAGCATTCAACATATTTCATTTGTCCCATCACCGAGAGAATTGTTCAAACATCTAGCTTCACACCTATTTTTTTCCCTTCAACTTCTGTGTCATCTTCCTACCATTTTCAGTTTTTGGCACATACTATTCAGTATTTATCTCATTAACACTATAGGACACATCTGCATCAAGCTAATTGTGGATGAATTAACTCTACGACAAAGATATACTATCCGCCGGCATGTGGAAGATGTATAATAAATGGTACAAGTGTATAAACCAGAATACTACAGAGTTCTTGAACTGGTACCTTGCAGAGAGAGTTGATGCAATAGAATTCGAACTTTGACTTATTGACTGTTTTCACAAAAAGAAGGGAAACGAAGTTCATGAGCACACAAATGCAAAGTAAAACACAACCAAGCACACATCATAGAAGTACGAGGAAAGCTATTGAAAGATGCTCAATTTCAGAAGATACAAAAGTCTCCAATAGAACGGCATCTACCTCCAGCACACATATCTGAGCAACATTATCCCGCAGTCCGAACTTATTGAACACAATAGATTCCTCATGGACCATGTTGAATCTAAGGAAGGTAACAAATAGACGTGTAAGCCTGAGGGTGAAATCTAAAAATAAGGTCACCACCAATGGTGGTCATAAACCTAGTATGAGTAGTATCTATCTTGAACAGACAGTAATTAGAAAAACAGCTCAATAGTGCATGGCTAAGCAGAAATACTATTTGATTAGTAAGTGAAATGATCACTATATGACATATAAACTACCAAAAGTTATATGCATGATTTAACCATATTGGACCTAATAATGACGAAGATTAAGGAATTCAAGACCTCTGGAGACTGAAGATCGAAAATTACTTTGATTCTCTCCAAAAGATGGCACAACCGTCAGTAGCACTGCCTGTCCGCATCTAAAAATAACAACATGAATGTTAATTCTATGAGTTGGCCCTTCATAGAAAAAGCTCAATAGCACCTTCTTCAGAGGAATCATATAAGTGCCCGGTCAAGATCATCATTTCGGCTAATTTGAAAGCATGCATATTCATCCACACAGTTGACAACATTCGCCTTCTTTATGTGAAATGCATCTCCTTTGTTTTATGGACAAGTATCAGAGTGTAAATGCATAGGCCTCAAGAAGCAATAAATAATTTCCATCTTCCTAATCCAATTCTCACACTATGGTAAGGGGAGAGAGTTCTATAATTGTGAAGCTCTAATCCCTTCAACACAGTAACAATATTTGCAAAACGAACCTGATAGATCCCTTTGTACCCTGATCCCTTCAACTCATCTTCCAACTCCTGAAATCTGTCAACTTCCTGTAGTGCAGAGTGCAGAAAAGGCATCAGAGTTCAAAACCCAAGAACATCGAGAAAAGCTTCAGCCTTGTCTACGAATTCTGAAGAGAAGAGTAGAGCAAACAACCTGAAAGCACATTATATCTGCTTTCCACAAGCCAAGCTCAAAAACTATACTTCTCTTTCTCCATTGCCAAGCCAGCATATGCTGAGGTATGTGGAAGTAAAGTTTGCTCCTGTGGTTGACGGCTAGATAGTCGGCCAGTATATTATAAGAAAGAACACTGAATCTCTCTGCAGATGGAAAACCCAAAAGAAAGAATCAAGCTTTGAACCAGACTTTCATCTAACAGAAATCACACTTCAGTACTAAGAGAAGGGACTATCTCTGCCAAAGTACCTGCATTTGGAGGAGGAAAAACATTTGCATACTCCCAATTCCGGAAAAGCAATTCCTTCGGCGGCCTTGGCGGGAGTTGTTGTTGCTGCTGATGGGGGCGGAAACCTTGATTCCGATCAAACGGCGGAGCCTGCCGGAACTGTTGGTAGTTCTGACTTTGAACGAAGGGTGGAGGTGGCCGGAATTGATGCTGGTTTGAGTAGTAACGCGGAGACGGCTGCCGGAACTGTTGGCTTTGGCTCTGTAAGTATGCCGGCGGTGGCCATTGATTCGAAGAACCGTGCCATCCCCCTCTGCCAAGCCCTGAGTAATTAGGGTCTGGTAAGTCTCCGGCAAAGACATGTGAGCCTCTCCCGCCACGGTATTGGCGGTCGGAGAAGCCTCTCCCCGCCGCCCAAGGCTTTCTACCGCCACGGTGCTGCTCCCAAATTTCCAACAGTTAAAAGAGAAACTCACTATGCAAAAACCAGACATTGAAAATTCAATACATTGAAATTACAAATAGAAAGCGTGAGAGAGATGGAGTACTGGAATCGGAGAAGACATGGCGGTGATTTCAGTAGCTACGACGGCGAGGGATTTCAAAGGCGGGGCTGATCGCTTCATTGAGACATGGCGGAAACTCAAAACAGTTGGGGCTTGACCGCTTGAGTAGAATGCATAAGGGAATAAATAGCTAAATGGTCACTAAACTAGGTAACAACTAGCAAAATAATCACTGGACTTAAATATTTACCATCCGACGGCGGTGATCAAATTAACGAGAAAGCCGTCAAAACTCAAACCGTGTCCTCTCAAAACCCCCATTTTCGGCCACTTCTCTGAGACAGACGCGAAGGATTCGATTACTACTCTTCTCGGGAAGTAGGAGCGAAGAGCCTCGCCGGAAAAGGAACAATCTTTCAAGTGGGAAAGCCGATGATATTGATGATGATGTCGTCGCTGTCTTCTCCATCTTCGTGGTCGGTATCTCCGTTCTTCAAATCCAAGCCCTTCACCGGCGATTACAGACCTATAACCCCGGCGGGAGTTCCTTTCTGCCGAGGCGTCAGGGCTTCTTCCGATGTCCCCGATTTCCTCTCCGCCGATTGGTATGGGAAAAACCCTGAAAGCACTCATCCATCTTTTCTGACTATTTTTCTGGGTTCGGGTATTGATCGTTAGAATCAGGAAGAACCACAAGAAAGTGATGACCTTTTTTATTGTTGTTTGTTTCAGGCTTGAATCACGACGGAAGAAACCAGATGGGCCAAAACTAAATGTAATAATTTTCTAATCGTTGAGAAATCTGCAGAATTGATTAGGAGGGGAAACTTTTGATCTTACTATGAAATAGCTGTTTTGTATGTTGTAGTTTAGTGCTGAAGAAGCTGTTGAGTACCAGCTTGATGCATTGAAGCACAATGACCAACCTCACCATGATTATGGAATTGAAGTTATGTACAGGGTAAACATCCAGAGCCTCACAATTGCACATCATTTGGCTTTTGGAGGCCACTTTTCTCTCCTATGTTGCACTTAATGTTTTTACTTGTTTGCTGTTGTTCTGATGTCCATCTGGTGATAGTTTGCTGGATTCGATCCTTTTGAGAGATCGACCTATTTCGGACCCTTCTTCGATCTCGGGCAGGTTAGTGTGTGTTCTGAGAGAGACCTCTTTTACAGTTTTGTTTGGTTGCCTCTTCTAAGCTAATGCCATGATCATGATGGTTTCAGTTTGAAAGGTTTCGACGGATTTTCCACCACTCGACGTACAGAGTATTGCTTGGTCATAAGGAGAGGAAGGTATTGAGCTGCCTGTTAGTGGAAGAGGTATGGTTCATGCATTTGCCCTATTCCTAAAGGAAATCTGGCTGACAAGTTGCTACTGAGTTCGTATGTTTGCTATCTAATTTTGCAAACTTTAAACAGAATCGGTTTAAGCAACGGGTATGGGTGAGAGGCAATCGTCCAGAGGAGGAAGAGATATTCCAGTTCACCATGGTTCAGGTTTATTCCCCGCTATTTATTTCCCCCTTGTAGAATGGACCACCTTGAAGAAGTTTGATTCATTTTCCATTGTTGGTAGAGTGAACATAGTTGAGTGAAAAGGGGATCTTGTGATTTTGCAGAGAGTTGGTGGTTCTTGGGATGGGTATTGGCTGACAGAGTCTCTCCTTAATGATGGAGATGCTTTTTCTGGTGGATTGGCATATTGAACCAGAAGAAACAAAGGGGCCCTTGATCATGTTTGAAACAGTGAAACTACTATAAGCACCAATCGAATTCGTGTACATGTTATGGCAATGCCGCATAGTTATATTCATCGTTACAAAAATACATCAGTGTAAATTGTGGCTGTACATATCCGAGTTCTGTAATATACAAGATCAGTAAATTTCTTTAGTACATCTGCTTGTATAACAGTACAAGGCTTCAGTGTCTGCATTTGCTTAAGAAATTGACAAGTAAAAGTGTGTTCCAAATGATTTAACTGTGATCCAAACAAGCAAAATACCACAATCCTGAAAGCAGTACGGTTGAATAGAAAAATCTCTTTGAATGACTAAAGTACCGAAAATCGACAATCAAAATGATCCACTTGAACGATACAAAAAATACAAAATTTTCAAAAGGGCTTCTTCTAGCACTATAATGACTCGAGTAACAGCTAATAATGAACCTTCAACAATGGCAAACCGATACCAGAACCCCTCAATAACAAGATACAAAACTCAAAAACTAAAAATTTACTGCTGAGAGATGCCAACTAGCTATAATCCCATCATCCATGTCATTTCTTTGTCTGAGTAACAAATTTTTTCACAACATAGCAGTCTGGTGGTGTAATGTTTGTGTAGTAATTCTGGATGGTCTCCGTGATCTCGAACCCAAACTTCTTGTAGAAGTTGATAGCATCTTCATTGTTTGTCTGCACATGCAAGTATATCTCTGGAACGTTCTGCTTCGAGCAGAGATCAAGAACGTGATTCAACAGTTTCGTCCCTGCATATATAAGTTCAGAGATTCATTTAAAGAGATGCATATAACAAGATATTGTTTTCTCTATAGCTGACTATATAAGCAGCTAGTCACTACCATTAACAGTAGAAGCAATGCAGCCCATAATGGAATAACAAAAGAAGCAAAACAGGCAAGCTGACTAAATAGTACAAACATCAATTACATGTTCTGGCAAAAAACTAATTGGACGTTTGCTGACTCACCAATGCCTAGCCCACGATATGGAGCTAACACGCCCAAGGTCATAATGTAAACACAGACAACCCCGCCTTCCTTCTTCTCTAGGCGACATGCGATGGCACCAACGCAGATATCACTGTAATATGCTGAATAAGGAGAAGATACCCCAGAATCGCGTTAGTCAGCGGATAATGGATTAATGCAGGAGGAAACACTATGTGACATAATACTCCATTTTCACTGACTTCAACCCAGTGTAACAAAACAGGCATCATAAATTATAATCAACCAAGTACTTCTTGAACCTATACAAGCAGTATGGTCTACTACGAGCTAAAACAACCATCTCGCGAGCACACAGCGAAACCATTATTAAACTAAGGGGTTCAAAGATAGGAATGAAAACCATATAAGTTCCAGCAAGGGCTCAAAGTAAGCATTTCACTCTCTCTAACTGCTTTTCATCAGTACTAAGACTCGAGCAGGAGCATTTAGAAAATCGTAGTTTCAGAAGATTGCCCAAGCATAAGAGCTTTTGTTCTGTACATTGCTAATCCATTTCGCACACAACAGCCGCGAATACCAAATGAACTAACAATCAATGAGCGAACCCACAAGCAGAAGCCAAATCGCAATAAAACAAACCCTACATTCGCAGAAACAATTTGGGGGAAAAAACGGTTCAATACCGAGTTTGGTGAAGTCACCGGAAGCGAGAGCGTCGGAATAGTACTTGTCATTGTAACGGACGGGGAAAAGGACGGAGTTGAGCTTCTTGAGCTGCATCACGTTCTTGTCCCGCACGCCATCTAAGGATATCGACACTTCTCGACCCGCCCCCATTTGGGATTCTCTTCCAGCCGAAATGGTAAAGGAGACGACGACTGCGGTGGCGGAGTAGAAGTCTCTGCTGGCGTATGTTATGTTGAGATTTTGCCCCTGATTTGGGTAAAACCGCGGCGGCTCTGCTTAGCTGCTGCTGGTCAGGATCTGCGTATTCGGGGTGAAAAGAAGAATGAAGAAGAGGCGTATCCAGTCAGCTCTCTCGTGGGTGTGGGCCTAATAATTGGCCCTATGGGCCCCCAAATTATGATAAGTAGCCAAAGCCCAGTAGTCCGTTAAACAAAACACCGGCAACCAAGGTTGTCAACCCGTGGGTTGACCCGCGGGCCAACCCACTTTGACCCTGATCCGGTAAGAAAAACGAGCCATACGCACTCGCCGGGCCGACCGCTACAAGGTACCGGGTTGGAGGTCAAATTGTGTCTTTTTTTTTGTTTGCGAAATGTGCCTATTTTCCGGTTTTTCTTTTCGTCTAACTCAATCTTTGGAATCCTAAGTTGAACATTTGAATATTTATGTTATATAAGTGTGTGTGAATTTTCACTATATGTTGAATCTAAGTACGATATGTTATTTTGGTGTAATATTATATGTTATAAGTCATATGCTAGATAAGATTTGATATAATTTATGAGGATAAGTACAATATAATTACTTTTTCTATATTTCCGGGTCAAACCTGGCTAAAACGGTTGACCCATTAACCCTTGACCCACTAGCTCGACCGGGTCCGGGTCAACCCGCGGGTTGACAACTTGCCGGCAACCAAGATTGTCAACCCGCGGGTTGACCCGGACCCGGTTGAGCTAATGGGTCAAGGGTTAATGGATCACCCGTTTTAGCCCGGTTTAGCCCGGAAATATGGAAAACGTCATTATATTGTACTTATCCTGATAAATTATATCAAATCTCATCTAACATATGAGTTATAACATATAATATTACACCAAAATAACATTTCGTACTTAGATTCAACATATAGTGAAAATTCACACACAATTATATAACATTAATATTCAAATGTTCAACTTTGGATTCCAAAGATTGAGTTAGGCGAAAAGAAAAATCGAAAAATAGGCGCATTTCGCAAAACAAAGAAAAAAATGACACAATTTGACCTCCAACCCGGTATCTTATAGCGGTCGACCCGGCGGGTGTGTGCGACCCGTTTTTCTCACCGGGTCAGGGTCAAAGTTGACAACCTTGCCGGCAACTGATTGTAGGGAGGGGGAAGACCAAATGCTACGCCACTCCCTTGGAGAAGCAATTCTGGGACAATGTGGTGTTGGTTGGCGATGCAGCTCACCCTACGATTCCACATTACTTGAGGAGCACAAACTTGTCAATGTTAGACGCATCGGTTTTAGATACGTGTGTGGAGAAGTCGAGTGAGAATTTGAGTTCGGATCTGGATGAATATCAGCAGTTTCAGATGCCAGTGATTTCCAGGCAAGTCCAACGATTGATTGTTCATGATCGAAAGAAGTTTGACCCGAAGGCTGCTAGTTCGGAGGATTGTGAAGAACTTCAGTATAAAAAAACATGCCCTTCTTAGCTATGCTTCTCTGTCGCTAAAACTGCTGATGTGACAGTCGTTAAGGCGATTCTCTCTATAGCCAAGAAGTTCCAGCGACTGCAGAACTCTCAGTTCATCCCAGGGCACTCCAGGACAGACACTATTATGAAAGAACGAACAACACTAAATTGCAGCATTACAATGGAAATGGATCAACAACTCCATTGCCCTAGGGTTTATTCAAGTTCGAGGAAACTAATTTACAAAAATGCCTCATTTTCGCACAAGTTCTCACAACAACAGTTAAAAGAATAAGATAAATAGTACATTTTGGGGATAATAAGATACTGAATTCGGCGATAAATTGATTCTTAAATCGTTGCAACGAAAATATATCCTTACACTTTCGTAGGCCATGAAGCTTGAGCAGACATGATTATGCCAACAATTACTCCAAACAGTCCCAGAGCACTACCAAAGATCTCAATCACGAGAATCTTCACAAAAAGTGAGGAGTTTTGGGCATCGGATAATGCACAGCTGCTTCCTATGATTCCCACGCACAGCCTGTTAATGATATGAAGGTTAACGATTTGGAAAACGGTAATCCCAGATGCGAAACTTGCCCTAGAAGTTAAGTGGGACTACAGGATGTATTACGTACCCGCAAACAAGGTTAGCAAAGCCAACGATAATCCCAGATGCGAAAATTGCGTATCCAGCTCTAAGGGATTCAGGAGCATAGATCTGTGAAGCAGGAACACTCTCCAACTTCGTCTGCAGGATAATTGCCACAATAACACCGTATATGGCAACGGCTTCACAAAAGATTACACTGCAAACAGAACAGCAAATTCAACCAGATAATCCTCCAAAGGGCATTGCAACTGTTTAAAGTTTTACATAAACAACTGCTAAGCAACAGAATATGCTATCAACATGAAAATGAAGGCAAAGACTATATTGGCACTGAAACAGAAAATCATAAAACGATATTTCTCATCCAAACCATAGCCAGATCATTATATGCTCAAAGATTCCACCGCACTCATTACACCAACCAAAGTGGTATTGCAGCTGCGCACAAAGTTTGACATGTAGATACTCAGTTACAGCCCCCATGGAGAGGAAACAGTTCCTGGTACAAGCTCCAAGCTCATTAAGCAAATGGTCACTGGTACACCAATGCCAAATAACTTGAATGAAGCTTCTAATGGTGTTAGCAAGTAATTTTCTTTTCAACCATACGGCCATTCAAAAGTTCAGAAGAACTTAAATGCAAGTGACATTCGTCCAAGAGAAAACCAAGTTCCAGAACAAGAAGCAGGCAACTAAATGTGATGATCCTACCATCTAATTCAATTGCAACACCTATTCTACAAGTCAGTGATGAAACAACATGAAATCAAGCATTGAGAAAATCAGACAGATAAAGCCGCAAAAAGTACTGGAAGCTCAGAATCGCACATCTAGGGCTACAAAACCGATCCCTGAATCAAGACCAACAACACAATTACAAAAATTCTGGAATTCGGCACCTGATGAGATTCTTAGAGGTGATCCGAGGAGCTTTGATGGCTGCGCCGATCAAGCTACTCCCAGTAATGTAGATTCCCCTGCAAATTCCAATCCAATCAAACCAAATCAATCGAACGAAAAGCAAGTCATGAAGCACATCTGTAGAGCCAGGAAATAAACACTACATCCGAGAAAAGATGCAGCTGAAGTTAGAAAAAGTAACAGAGGCACGTAAATGAGGGAACAGAGCAGTACCAGGCGGCACCGAGGACAGAGACTCCGATGGAAACGGCGATACCGATGGCGGAGAAGGTGTAAGGAGAGATCCTAACGAGCGCTCGAGCCCAGGAACTCGCATCCCCGACTATCAACGCACTCGACATTTTCCGGCGTCGATTCGATCGACCTTCGAGTGTTCGGGCAAAACTCCGGTGTGAATTTCTTCTCCCTCGTCGAGCGATTGAACGTCTGGGGGAAATCAGAACTGGCGTGGAGGGAGGAAGAGGGCCGAGGGGAGAGAGTAAGAGCGTGAGACAAACTAAGGATGAAGAGACATCGCGCGTGCGATTCACTGCTCCACGATCCCGGTTCTCAAACTTCCGTGTCGTTTCGTTGCCTAAAGTTCACTACTGCTGCATAAGCAAGGGTTGCAACGGCGCCGTATTAGCTCAGTAACAGACCGAACCACATATCTTGGCTGAAAATTATCATACCACCGCCCGAACTATCGATTTTGTTGCAAACCGATCACTTCACTATGATAATTGTACGAAAATTAGTGAATTTGTAGTTGCAATGATATCGATTTCGTCCAACATTATTTCCCCCCTTAAGGCTATTAGGCTAATTACCTTCAAGACCTCTGAAGTTTGTAATAGACTTTGGATTTAGAATGATTGTGAAAAATCAAGAACTCTAATATTAAGTCAAACCCGGATTATTGTTTTTTAGCTTTAGGTTGATGTGAAGTCAGTAGTCGAAAGGTTTGAGTCGGAATCAACAATGATATTACAAAGAAAGTTTATCTTAAGAGAGTTTTGGTTATTTTAGTTGGAGGTTTGAAACGATAATTATGTTCATATGCATTATCAAACCAAATCAACATCAATTTGTGATGGCACTTACGAAACTTTAAATGTGTTATATGCACTATGAAAAAAAATTAGGTATGCGAATTTTAAAAGATGGTTGTTGTTTGAATGTAGTAATGTCAAGATCCATGAATGAGTTGTTGTTTGCAAACTATCAAGTTCATGGCCAAAAGTTTGCGGAAATATCTTTTGATATTCTCTTTAAACGATAATTGAATTCTCGTGAACTAAGAAAAAGAAATCAGGATGTATAAAATATTATGATTAAAGGATGAGCTAAACTTTAAGTTAAGAAAAGAAAGAGGAAAAGTTATCATACCTTAACAAGAAATAGTTATTATGTTTTGTTGGGTAAATGGCATTCGAAGTTTGCTGTGGAACGGGATAGTTGGTGGTGCAATCTTTTGGTTATCAAATACCCGTATGAGCTCTCATCTTGGTAGAAAGAGGAATGGTTTCAGTAGTTCCGTATGGGCTAATATTAGCTTGCATGGAGCTGGGAGGGGGTTATGGAGTTTTGTTCTGGTACGACAGTTGGATTCCTGGGATGGTTCTCGTTGATTCCTTTCCTCGTGTTGCTGCTGCTACCCGCTGCCCTGAAGCCTGGATCTCAGACGTCTTTTTCCGGGATGGTGAGAGTTTATCTTGGAAACTTAATTTATATACTTGTTTGAGAGGAGGAGCAGAGAGGGAGAGAATTTCTCTTATTACTTTATTTGATTTTGTTGCTTCGAGTCGAGTCAATTCTGGAGCTTGCAGGTTATATTGGTTACCCAATATGGAGTCTTCTTTCTCCGTGAAGTCTATGTACATGTGTCTCGAGACCTGACATGCGTGCTTGTCCCCTTGTGATGCTTGATGCTTGGTGCGTGTAACGTTTTTGCTGGTTGTTTCTCATGTTTGGTACTCTACTTCGCTGGCTGGGTCTCGTTTGATTATGTTGTTCGTTAGGGATGGGACCTGATTGTTGTCCTTGTTTTTCTTTGCTTGCTAGTCTCTCGTTTGTTCCTCTGGTTTTGCAGCAAGGGTGGTTCGGCCCACCCAGCTGCTCTTTTGCATCTTTCTTTACTTCTTGTTCTCCTTTTCTTTTGTCATGTTGTTTGGTTGAGGTTTGTGGTTTAGCTCTTGTGAACTCATGTTGCAGCCCTTTACCTCCTGTTTTTTTCTTATTTATATATTATCACCATTATCAAAAAAATGTTTTGTTCAACTGAATCAAACTAACTCGTAAGAATAAATACATCCTATCAGGAGAACTTCAAAGCATCCACCAAGCAAAAAAAATTCTAAGAGTTAACAGTTATTATGTTCACTGTAATAATATGGTTATTGAATCGGGAAGACAACTTCAAGACATTCTAAATAGTTGTCCATAAAAAAATAGCAAATGGTAAAGAAAAGTATCGTATGATGGTCAACTCTACTAAGCACGACATGTGGTGCCCATGATTTGGTTTTCATGTCGGTGAGCAAAGAAAGGAGGATGTCGCTTTTGTCATCCGCCTCGATTGTTGCTATTACTCGGCAACATTCATCCTCGATAAAGTTCAAGTGGATCGGCGAGAATTGACTTTATTTGGTAAATTAGATTTCTTAATGATTCTTTTGAAAGTTAAGTGGTTGAGTATTACCATTTTTAAAGCATCCACGAGACATCTCTACATTAGATTTCCAAATGATTTTCTATAAAGAGAACTTTGAGCATCCACTAAGCAAAATATATATATGTCAAGAGTTGACCGCTTTTATGTCCACTCTAGACTTATGGTTATTGAAGTCCCAAGCGAGTCTCGACACATTTTAAATAGTTATCCATCAAAAAATATCAAACAGTTAAGACAAGCATCATGTGATGGTCAACTCTACTAAGCAAATGTACGGTGCACACAATTAGATTCTCAACGTCGGGGAGCAAAGAAATAAGGATGTTGCTTCTGCGCCTCTCCGATTTCGCAATTACTCGACAAAGTTCAAACACAATGGATTGACAAAAATTGACTCAGCTACATCATATATCCTAATGATTCTTTTGAAAGCTAGTCGATTGAGTAGATCCATTATCACTTTTTATGCTACATCTATTCTTTTCAGAAGGTATACAATCATAATGGTTAAATAATCCCTTAAAAAAAGATTACATAATTGAATAAGTTGTGTTGGATGCTAATTGCTGACCTTATATAGATCAATTATTTTGCATACGTTGGTTTCTAGAAATCCCAAAAACAATTAACGGTGGATATTGTTTTCCAGCAATCCTTTATACAATAACAATTTTCCAAATTGTCTTGTTTTTTTTTGTGTATTCCACATATATATTGTACTGTTCTAGCATTAGAACTTCTCTCTGTCGATTAATCTTGTGCAGCCACGAACTGACTGTGTTCGAATCCTCGTTGACCGTGTTCGAATTCCCGCGAGTCTCTACTTTAAGAATTAACAATGCATTTTTAAACTCAATATATGATGGACCAATGCAATTTTCAAGTAAATGGATGCAACATGTGAAATATTGAGTATAAAATTCATACTCAAATTTCTCTTAAGCAAATCGAGTTACTAAGATCAAGTAGTATAACCGCAATCGTATAATCTTGCAAACCTCGAGTAAAACAACACTGTCAGCACCATGTGCATTTTTCTGGCCAAAGGTTCTTAATCACCAAGTAGCAGCAACAGTCATAATATATATATACTAAATTACTGCAAATGAGCTATCCCATTACAGTCAAGCTCGCGATTAAGAAGACCTTTTCAGCCGCCCCTAAGTAAAATATCATTCCTATTATACATCAACAGTCACAATTTATGTACCCAAACCAACTCTCCCTAGAATAACACCTCCAAATTCAAATCTTTCCATCCATGGAAACTTGCCAGATATAAGATATTCCTTTCCTGTCCTAGTCTTTCCCCAACGCAAAAACAACCAACCTGAAGGAGACCCTTTACCTGCTACTTAACTGGGCCATACCCATCCCAAGTTGATCCCCCTTTTTTACAGTTTAACCTTCCTCCACCTCTATAAAAGAAGCCACCACCTTTTCCTTTACCATTCAGCCTGAGAAAGCTCAGGAAAACCCCAGTTATGGCTACTTCAGGGAGAATCAGCACTAGTGGCAGGATCAGCAGCTCGGACGTATGGAGGAGCAGCAGCACAGGGGACAGAGTGTTCTCAAGGTCAGGAAGAGCCAACGACGACGACGTTGAAGACGACGAGGAAGCACTGAAATGGGCTGCTCTGGAGAAGCTCCCCACTTACCTGAGGATCAGGAGAGGGCTTCTGAACGAAGACCAAGGGAATTCGCGCGAGGTGGAGATCACTGACTTGGGGTTCTTGGAGAAGAGGAACTTGCTGGACAGGCTTGTCAGGATTACTGATGACGATAATGAGAAGTTCCTGCTCAAGCTCAAGAGTCGCATTGATAGGTAAGAAAAAAAATGTCGTCGGTGTATTGTGACGGTACTAAAATTAAAAGTACGTTTTGGATGACTCACATATCGCGTGCTTGTTTTCTGCAGAGTCGGGCTGGAAATGCCGACGATTGAAGTGAGGTTCGAGCATTTGAACGTTGAGGCAGAGGCTCGTGTTGGAGGCAGGGCATTGCCTACTGTGTTCAACTTCTCTGTCAACATGTTTGAGGTAAATTTTTTACTGAATTTACCACTGCGAGAGTATAATTTTGTACATTATAGTATGGTAATGAAAAGCAAGAGAGCTTGTTCTGAATCATGTTAACCCTAAAATGTCTTTAATCTGAAGGAAATCTTGAACTCTCTTCACATTCTGCCAAGCAGAAAGAAGCCATTGCCGATTCTTCATGATGTTAGTGGAATCATCAAGCCAGGAAGGTTAGTAGAACCAAATTGTCTCGTTACGGTTAATAAATATATCAGATCTAAAAAGGTTTTCTTCTTTTTATTTTCATTTGTTTTGTTAAGTCAACGATATTTTTAATCTATGTACTATGCTAGCTCCTTGAACAAGCAAATAGTTGTACTATGGATTTTAACAAACAAGTTGCTTTAGTTTACTACTCATATTTCTAACGTAAAGACTAATTCGAGTCCTCTGAGACTGAGTTGAATACTACTAGTAGTAGTATAATCCGCTAAACCAAGGCTTTATTCATTCTTTTATGAATATTAACATTTAACCATAAAAATACTGTCAATATTTGTTACGAGAAGAGATGCCATGCTTCCATGATTAGTAAACAAATTCTTGATAACTCACATATCATATAGACTTGAAATCTAAATGATAGATGATTCATAAAGCAATTTAAGATTTGAGACATAAGAGTCGTACTCACAAGTTTGAGTCATCAAGGTTTCCTTACAAACATCGAGTTGATACCAACTTCAACTCATATGGATAAAACTCATAATGGAGTGATTGAAAGTGGAAAAATAATATAATACAAGGATGTATTTGTTAAAAACAATAGTATAAAGATGTGTTTGTCAAAAAGGAATACTGCAGAGACTGTAGATACTAGTTCTTTATTCTGATCTCAATTTTGCTCGCCAACTTCTGGGATTTTGCAGAATGACACTGCTTTTAGGCCCTCCTGCCTCTGGAAAGACTACCTTACTGCTTGCCTTAGCAGGAAAACTTAGTAAAGATCTTAAGGTAACTCATGCTTGCCTCCAACCCTACTAGTAAGTTGTAACCTTTCTTGTGATGAACTGACGCTTTTTTTTTCCTTTCGCTAGTTTTCAGGAAAAGTTACATACAATGGTCATGAAATGGATGAGTTTGTACCTCAGAGAACTTCAGCTTACATAAGTCAGTATGACCTTCATATTGGAGAAATGACTGTCAGAGAAACCCTAGCATTCTCTGCAAGATGTCAAGGAGTTGGACCTCAAAACGGTCAGTTAGTTAGTTCGTCGCATACTTATATTGCAATCTACCTAGTGTCATTGCTCTTCAGTTTGAGAGTAGTCCATCTTAATAGCTCCGTAACACTACCTGGTAATGCCTACAGATATTCTGATCGAACTATCTAGAAGAGAGAAAACAGCAAAGATTAAGCCAGATCCAGATATTGATCTCTTCATGAAGGTGAGAAAGCAAAACTGAATCGAAATACTTTGGCTAGTTGATTAGTTCTTGCAGCTGTGAACTAACAAGCTAGAGTTCTTGGTGGAATCATGCAGGCAGCAGCACTGGAAGGCCAAGAAGCCAATGTGGTTACTGACTACATTCTCAAAGTGTGCATGAAAAACATAATTCAAATACCATGGTAAAAAAATTGTGTGTTTATGTCAGGTTTAACCATCTTTCTATTTTATCCCACAGATCTTAGGGCTTGAAGTATGTGCTGATACATTGGTCGGTGATGAAATGTTTCGAGGCATCTCAGGCGGGCAAAAGAAGCGAGTTACAACTGGTAAAAACGGTTGATACCACCATTATTAAGACTAGTGCTCAAGTTCCAATCCTTCTACCCTCATAATTTATCTTAATGATGTAGGGGAGATGATGGTTGGACCGTCAAGAGCGTTATTCATGGATGAAATATCTACTGGTTTGGATAGCTCAACAACCTTCCAAATAGTCAATTCACTAAGACAATCCATCCACATTCTCGAGGGAACTGCCCTTATCTCTCTTCTGCAGCCTGCACCAGAAACCTATGATCTCTTTGATGATATTGTTCTTCTCTCCGACGGCTACATTGTCTACCAGGGCCCTCGAGAAAATGTGCTCGAGTTCTTCGAGCACATGGGATTCAGATGCCCAGAGAGGAAAGGAGTAGCAGATTTCTTGCAAGAAGTAACATCAAGAAAGGATCAGGAGCAGTACTGGCTGAGAAGAGACGATCCTTACAACTTCATCACTTCGATGGAGTTTGCAGAAGCATTTCAGTCGTTCCACATTGGCAAGAAGCAAGGAGATGAGCTGGCAACTCCATTCGACAAGTCGAAAAGCCACCCTGCTGCACTAACGACCAATAAATTCGGTGTCAACAAGAAGGAACTTCTAAAAGCTTGCATTGCGAGGGAGTATTTGCTCATGAAGAGGAACTCCTTTATCTACATTTTCAAGATTACTCAGATTGTGATTCTAGCTTTCCTGACAACGACAGTTTTCTTAAGGACGAATATGCATCACGAGACAGTGAACGATGGAGGAACTTACATGGGAGCTATCTTCTACGGGGTTATTGTCATGATTTTCAATGGGTTCTCAGAGATGGCAATGACTATCCACAAGCTTCCGGTGTTCTACAAGCAAAGAGACCTTCTCTTCTTCCCAGCATGGGCATATGCTCTTCCTGCTTGGGTGCTCAAGATCCCCATCGCGTTTGTAGAGGTTGCAATATGGGTCATCCTCACTTACTATCCTATTGGCTTTGATCCAAACATTGGAAGGTAAAGCAAAGTCGCTAGCGAATCTTAGAATAATTATGCGCTTAAAAAATGATGTGCTTACGAGTTTACTTAACTAAAATATGGACTGATTTTGTTTTAAAGCTATTTGAGTTCTATGCAGAGTCTATATTTTGACTACCTTGCACATACAAGTTGATGAAATTATATAAAAATTACTGATGGCAGGTTTGTGAAGCAGTACCTTTTATTCGTTCTAGCAAACCAGATGGCTTCCGGGTTGTTACGACTCATAGGAGCAGTAGGAAGGAACATGATCGTTGCTAATACAATTGGATCATTCTGTATAATTAATCTCCTAGTGTTGGGTGGCTTCATCATCTCAAGAGGTGTGTAGAGTAGTAGTGGTAGTAGCAATAGAAGTCACCATTGATGTATACTGAATCTTCTCCGAGTTGAACCAGTGCTAACACTGTTATTTTATTTCAGTAAATGTGAAGAAATGGTGGCTCTGGGGTTATTGGATCTCACCATTGATGTATGTGCAGAATGGTCTCACTGTCAATGAATTTCTCAGCCACAGTTGGAGTCATGTGCCTCCCAACTCAACTGAGTCGCTTGGGGTTCAAATCCTCAAGACTCGTGGACTTTTCCCATATGCATACTGGTTTTGGATTGGAGTTGGAGCACTAACTGGATCCATCCTTCTCTTCAATCTCCTCTTCATTTTCGCTCTCAAGTATCTAGACCGTGAGCATCTATATCCCACAACCCACAAACCGAACCCATTTGCAACCTCTATTATCTACCGAGTTTCCTCATGTTTTTCTGGTGTTCATGTTGTTGTGCTTTCAGCATTTGGCAAGCCACAGGCGATCATACCAAAAGAAGACTCGGAAGAGAAGACTACTTCACCTATAGCCACTATCGACTTGTCAGAAAGAGGTAACGGCAAAAGAAGGATAAGTATTTCATCCAGAACCCCATCATCAAGAGTTGGCAACTTAAATCAAGACAAGAGAAGAGGAATGGTACTTCCATTCCTTCCACTCTCCATCACCTTCGAAGACATCAGGTATTCCATAGACATGCCACAGGAGATGAGAGCTCAGGGGATCTTGGAGGATCGTCTGGAGCTTCTAAAGGGGGTCAGTGGAGCATTTAGACCAGGTGTCCTGACAGCACTGATGGGAGTAAGTGGAGCTGGGAAAACTACTCTAATGGATGTTCTTGCTGGAAGAAAAACCGGTGGATATATTGAAGGAAGTATTAAGATTTCAGGGTACCCGAAAAGGCAAGAAACTTTTGCTAGAATTGCAGGTTATTGTGATCAGACTGATATCCATTCCCCTCATATTACAGTGTATGAGTCGTTGATCTTCTCCGCATGGCTCAGGCTTTCTCCAGAATCAAACTCTAATACACGAAAGGTCAGCACACTGAATTTTGTTTATCAGTTCGTGGATAAAAGTTTTCCAAGTTTCAAGATATTCAAAATATTCCTGTGGTTCTGCAGATGTTTGTTGAGGAGGTGATGGAGCTAGTGGAACTGACTCAGCTGAGAGATGCACTCGTGGGGTTGCCCGGCGTGAATGGTTTATCGACTGAGCAGAGGAAGAGGTTGACCATTGCAGTTGAGCTTGTGGCTAATCCTTCCATAATCTTCATGGACGAACCAACTTCTGGGCTTGATGCAAGAGCAGCAGCCATTGTAATGAGAACCGTGAGGAACACAGTTGATACTGGGAGAACCGTGGTATGCACTATTCATCAGCCCAGCATTGACATATTCGATTCCTTCGATGAGGTACGTACTAAGCATCAAGCATTGTCTAGCTTTCATAAGTAAGAAGTTTTTCTTACTTATCTCAATTGCACACAGTTACTCCTACTGAAGAGAGGAGGGGAGGAAATCTTTGTCGGTCCAATTGGCCGCCATGCCTGCTATCTCATAAAGTACTTTGAGGCAGTAGATGGAGTTCCAAAGATGAAAGAAGGATACAATCCTGCAACGTGGATGCTAGAGGTAACTACAGCAGCGCAAGAAGATGCTCTTGGGGTCAACTTCACAGACATATATAAGAACTCAGAATTGTACAGGAGGAACAAGGATTTGATCAAGGAGCTAAGTTCACCACTACCTGGTTCAAACGATCTCTTCTTCCAGAGGCAATATGCTCAAACATTCTTTACTCAATGCATGGCTTGCCTGAAAAAGCAGCACTGGTCATACTGGCGAAACCCTCCTTATAATGCTGTGAGATTCCTCTTCACAACATTCATAGCTCTCATGTTCGGAACAATATTCTGGAATCTAGGCTCCAAAAGGTATGTGATACAAGGAAGTAAAAAAGGAAACACTTCTTCAATCTTATCTTTCCCCATCCCCTACATATATAAGGAATGGAACTTTCCTTCTGATTTTTTTGCAGAGGAAAGCAACAGGATATTCTGAACTCAATGGGTTCCATGTATGCAGCAGTTTTGTTCATAGGATTCCAGAACAATACAGCAGTTCAACCAATCGTATCCATCGAGAGAACAGTTTTCTACAGAGAAAGAGCAGCTGGGATGTACTCTGAATTGCCATATGCCTTTGGACAGGTGGTGATTGAAATACCATACGTTCTAATCCAAGCCCTCGTCTATGGAGTCATAGTCTACGCCATGATCGGTTTCGAGTGGACGGCAGTCAAGATCTTCTGGTACATGTTCTACATGTACTTCTCATTGATGTACTTCACTCTCTTTGGGATGATGTCGGTTGCCATCACTCCAAACCACAACATTGCTGCCATAATTTCAACTGCCATCTTTGGGTTATGGAACCTTTTCTCGGGCTTTGTTGTGCCTCGCCCGGTAAGCCACTTTCTCACTTGCTCATCAACCCTCTCTGCTGCTTTAAGTGGTTTCTGACTGACTAAAGCTAAAATGGGTCAACTTCCAGAGGATACCAATCTGGTGGAGATGGTACTATTGGGCATGCCCAGTTGCTTGGACATTGTACGGACTGGTGGCTTCACAATATGGTGACATTAAGGAAACCTTGGATGGTAGCAATGAAACTGTGGAGGAATTCATCCGAGACTATTTTGGGTTCAGACATGATTTCGTTGGGGTAGTTGCCCTAGTTCTTGTGGGAATTTCAGTCTTTTTTGGCTTCATGTTTGCATTCTCCATCAAGGCCTTCAATTTCCAGAAGAGATGAGCCAAGTTTCTAAATTTCTGTATACTGTAAGCAGCTGCCTATATTTTGCGGTACCATAATGCATAATTACCTACTCAACCAAATTTGTATCGTCGATCTCCCTTCTCCTTTCTAATTGTCCTGCAAGTTAACTGTAGCTTTATGCTAATCAAGATCTCATCTGAAGTGCCTTGAACTGAAAAGGGTTACATCCAAACAGAAATATACCAACTCTATCTCTTGAAAATCAAAAAATCAAACAACCCAACAAACAACTCGGTATTAATATATGAAAGAACCCTATTACCTGAAAAGAGGGCATAGAAATAAAAAAGACTTCAAAAAACAAAGTCTACCTAAATTGTATTTACTATTGGCTTATAGTAAAGGCAAAGTCATTCAACTTGTTGACTTCAACACGACATTCTACTTCTATGGTCACAACATTCTAGAGCCCCTTCAAACACTAAAGGAGAACTAAGAACCAAGGTGTATGATGCATTGCTAGGGGCATGATATATCTAAGCCCTGCATTATATAAGTACAAGTTGCAAAAAGAGTCTTCAAAAAAGTCATGTAAAGTGCAAAGAGGTGCTTCATTCTTACACATACTTAAGTGATCAATCATAAAACCATCTATACACTTGAGTTATTCACTGCATATATAGTTACGAGATAAAAAATCTGCTAACCTATTTGTTAGAATATGACTTGAATTTGATTTGAGTTTGTTTTGTGTTTTGGACCTATTTTGTTTGGGTTTGTGTTTGGGCTTTGTTTGACCTTTTCCTTGTATGTTTGGGAAAAGGTATTTGGTTTTCTGTTTGGGATTAGGAGAAGAGTTCTATAAATACTCTTCATCGCCCTAGTCTGTAGTAAGGTCAATCAGGTTACTTTGTTTGGTTTGTCAGTTTGAAATTTGGTTTGTAACCTGTACTCTCCTCAAATCAGTGAAATTTGTTCTCCCCTGCCCGTGGATTAGCTAGCACACATTGTGTTAGTAAACCACGTTAAATTTGTGTTCGTTTGTGTTGGTTTGGATTGTCGATTGCCATGCTTCTGTTCTGACAAGTGGTATCAGAGCCTTTGGTTGCGGTTTTGGGAGTTTGGCGCTGGACTGAAATTTTGCTTTGTAGAGTTTGGTTGGAGTTTGTTTGATAGTAAGAATAGTTGCTATCAGTATGAAGATTGAGAAGTTTACCGGAAGAAACAGTTTCAGTTTGTGGCAGATCAAGATGCAAGCCCTGTTGAAACAACAGGGTTTGTGGGCTCCGTTGTCTGGAAAATCGAAGAAGGAAAGTATAGATGAAGAAGAGTGGATTACTTTGGAGGAGAAAGCTCACTCTACAATCTTGCTTTGTTTGGCTGATGATATCATCACTGAGGTTGCTGCTGAGAAGACTGCTGCGGGTTTGTGGTTGAAGATTGAAAGTCTATACATGACAAAGTCTTTAACCAACAAGTTGCATATGAAGCAACGTTTGTTCAGTTTGCGTATGGAGGAAGGTACGTCTCTCAGGAATCATCTAGATCAACTCAATATCATCTTGTTAGATCTGCGGAATATTGATGTTAAAGTAGATGATGAGGATGCTGCCTTAATTCTGTTAGTATCTTTGCCACAATCATATGAGAATTTTGTGGATTCTTTTATTGCTGGGAAAGATAGTTTGTCTTTGGAAGATGTCAGATCTGCTCTACATACTAGGGAGGTTTGACATAAGGCATCTGGTTCATGTTCGGAAAATCAGACATCTGGGTTGGCTGCTACTAGTAGTAGGAGACAACAATCTGGTAATAGGAAGACGAATACAAATTCGAATTCTGCTGGTTTGAAGGATGATATATGTCATTACTGCAAGGAGAAAGGACATTGGAAATTTGATTGTCCTAAACTGAAGAAATATCAGGAGAAGAAGGAATCATCTGCTGCTGTGGCGGAAGAAACTAACTCTGATTCTGAAGATGGTTTAGCCTTAGCAGTGAATGAACAGGTACATCATCAGGATGTGTGGTATTTAGATACTGCAGCTGATTATCATATGTGTCCAAGCAGGGAGTGTTTTTCAACTTATGAGCAGATAGATGGAGGACATGTTTCTATGTCCAATGGTGCTATCTGTAAGATTGTTGGAAGAGGCTCCATCAGGATGAGGACACATGATGGTTCTGTTCGCACCTTGAACAATGTCAGGCATATTCCAGAAATGACTAAGAATCTGATATCTTTGAGTCTACTCGACAGCAAGGGTTTCAGCTTCAAAGGTGAAGGTGGAGTGTTGTCTGTCTACAAGGGTTCTAAGGTGATTTTGAAAGGTGTCAAGCGTGGTGCGTTGTATAATCTACAAGGTTCTATTTTGACATGTTCTGTTGGTGATGAGTGCACCAAGCTAGTTTTGAATGACAAGTCTCAACATGGATTGGACTTGCCAAATGATTTGAGTTGTTGACCGCCCTTAGGGGCATCTGGAGGCAGGGGAGATTCTGGTACAGCTGATTTGGAGAAGTTTGGTACGTCTGACAATTTTGATTGCATCTGAGTTTGGCGATTTGCATCGCATTTGGTCTGGCGATATGAATCGCATTTGGATATGTGCTGGCAATCTTGATTGCGTTTGAGTTTGGCGGTTTCGATCGCATTTGGATATGTCTGGCGATATGTATCGCATCTGGGTACATCTGGCAACTTTGGTTGCGTTTGGTACATCTGGCAACTTTGGTTGCGTCTGGTACATTTGGTATTTGAGAGAGAATTCAAGTCAAGGTGGAGATTGTTAGAATATGACTTGAATTTGATTTGGGTTTGTTTTGTGTTTTGGACCTATTTTGTTTGGGTTTGTGTTTGGGCTTTGTTTGACCTTTTCCTTGTATGTTTGGGAAAAGGTATTTGGTTTTCTGTTTGGGATTAGGAGAAGAGTTCTATAAATACTCTTCATCACCCTAGTCTGTAGTAAGGTAAGTCAGGTTAGTTTGTTTGGTTTGTCAGTTTGAAATTTGGTTTGTAACCTGTACTCTCCTCAAATCAGTGAAATTTGTTCTCCCCTGCCCGTGGATTAGCTAGCACACATTGTGTTAATAAACCACGTAAAATTTGTGTTCGTTTGTGTTGGTTTGGATTGTCGATTGCCACGCTTCTGTTCTGACACTATTCATAACAAGAGCTACCAATGCAGTGGTGCCAGAAGCAAGACCAACATCAAACAAGCATGCCTCTGCAAAGGCACACTATCAGTTTGCTGAAAATCAGATGCACTGACCTGCTAAAATCTCTTGGGAAGTCTTCATCCTCAATGATGAATCTCAGCAAATGGTGGCATGCAAAATCAGCAGCATGTTTTCCTCCATGCCCATCAAACCCCTGGTTCATCGTGTCACCAACATCAAAGTTTGGCACAACATTATAATGAATATCCAATATTTGCAATCATCAATCGACCGAAGACAATACCTGCACAAGGATCAATGATGACAAACAGGTCAATTCTTTTTGACACACAGACAACGGCAAGAAGAAAAACTCTTATGTTGCCACAATCATGCTAACCAAGCTAACATCACAATCATACAAATCATATAAAGACGTTCTCCTAGAGTACCCAACCTATTCAATTTTTGCTGGCCCGTGCGCACAGTTCGAAAGGACCGCATAGTCTTTTCACTCACTCGTCAGTTTAGCTACAAATTTATGGGTTAAAGATAAAAGGCAAATTAATATGGGGCTCCAATTGTTTATAATAAAAATAATATTTCAAGTTTCAATTCTTGCGAGCAATGTTGTTTTATTTAAGCTTCACTGATTAACTTTAACTACCCAATTCCAACTTCTCCTTGCATAATCACTCCGACATTAGAAATTAGAAATGGCAATTGGGAGCTCGAGTATGTCGATATTCATATCCGTTTGTTAGTATCAGGTCGGTTGAATAATTTTTTGTTAGGACAATGATTGGGTCAAGTGGATCCATATGGACATATAATTTAAATTGAAAATATTAGAAACACTGAATTTTTATTAAAAAATCAAGGAACCAAGTATAACATGATTAATTTAGTTAAATTATTCAAGTAATTGGGATTTTCACTTATTTACAACTTTATTGTTGCAAAATATAAGGCAATAAAAATAAAATTTTAAATAATTTAAGTAAAATTATATATTATTTAAAAAAGGCAGACCAAAAATGAGGATGTCATATGACGAGTCAGGTCCAAGAAAGTACACATGTTCGTCCCACCCCGCTTACGGAGTGTGTATTTGTGTATTACCCACTTTAAACAAATCAAATAGATTATGTAAAATAGGTTAGGTCAAAGTTGCCATTCTATCCGATCATTGTAATTATATCTGACACCATGATTTCTTTCTTACTTATGAATGTGTTTATAACATTTAGTTCCTCGAATTGAAGGCTTCTAATTGTTGTAAGTTTCGAACAAAGAAATATGTAACTTCTTTAATTGTAAGGGTTATATTGTATGAAGATAATTGGTTTGTTGATTGTTGTTATTATAATTTAATTAGAATCGTTACACGAGTTTATGCAAAGAAGTAAAAGAAGACGTGTTACATTATAAAGTGTAGGGCAAGTAATCTTGCAAGGGTGAAGGGTTTTGGCCTTTGTTGGGCATATGTAATTATATTTTTCAATTTAATAGTGAATCTCAATCTAATTTGATGTTGTGAAGAAAAATGTTGAATATGACTTTGTAGTTTTGGAGTGTAAAGTATTAAGATTTTTTTTTTCAATTGTGCAATGCTAAGAAATTATTCCAAAATAGTGGCAGAAGAGGCCGTCCCTTTTCCCTTCTCTTACAGATTGAGGTTATGGAGTGAAAATCACATTAATAAGTCACAAATCTCATACGTGAATTAATAGTTTGAAAGATAATCATATATGAGAATGAACACATCTCCAATAATTAATGCAAATGACCTGGATAAGGTAAATTTATTTTGCGTGATAATGATGTTTCATATTTGCATAAGTTTTGCCTTCAAATTTACAATCAATAAAATGAGGCAGTGGAGTCACTAATACGAATAAAAACGTTGTAAAGAAGAAGCAAGAGACATTCAACAGTGGAGATAGTACACATTGGTGATGAAGATAGTTATATTGTAAATGGTTAAAAGAATAACATGTTGATGGAGGGCCAATGGTAAAGAGGCCAAGAGAAAATTGCTCTAATGTTTGACAAAGCATAGTGAAATGTGTAATTTGATTATTTTTTTAGAATTCAGATTCATTTCTTTAGTCTTTGTTTTAATTTCAATGAGTTTCGTAGATTACTCAGCATAACTGTTGGAAGACTATATGGTGTATTTCAAAATTTCAATTTTCAAATAATTGAATATTTCGTATTCTTTTATGATCGCAAATAAGAAAACATATTTCTTTGTAAAATTGGTATCTTTTATTTATACTATTCACGCAAACATGAAAAGAATTAACTTTGAGAGAAAATTGGCATTATAAAAAAAAAGAGAAAAGTATAAATTCAAAACTTTAATAATTATCATTATCAAATTCCAAAGTGATAAGAGGACAACTGAAATAAAAGGAAGTCTAAGACAATTTTTTCAATAATTTGTAATGGAGAGTAGTTAAATAATAAAGTGTGGGTACATAATTTTTGTAGGATTTGGCTCCTTTACATCATTGCATGGTACCAAGAAAAAGATATCTTACTTTATATAATTGCTATTATTGTTTATACAATTAAACATATCCGGGCAACGGGCCGTGTTCGAATCTAGTTGCAAAGAAAGTCTTTCCTAAAGGAGTTTGGTTGTTTTGGTTGAAGTTTTGAAAAGATAATCATGTTCATATGCATTATCAAATCAAAATAATAAAGATAAAATCAACTTGTGATGGCTCTTATGGAACCTTTAATGTATTATATTTATATGCACACATTTGAGAACTATGTATGTAAATTTATAATTTAATATTATCAGAATGTAGTCTGCCAAGATCCATGCATGAGTTCTTTGCAAACTATCTAGTTCATAACCAAAAGTTCCTGCAAAGATTTTCTGATATTTTTTTGAACGATAATTGAGATGTCAGTGACCTAAGAAAAAGAAATCAATATGTATAAATGTCATGACCAAAGATTAAAAAAATTAATCAGAAACCCCTTTACTATATCCTCCATTAATATATGGTAGAGTTTTGTGCACTTTTCTCCATTTCAAATTTCCTATGTACTTTTCTCCATTTCAAATTTCCTACAACGAGAGTGAAAGTAGGAAGGTCATTTTTGTCTTTACACATTTATTATTTATTTCATTTAAAAATAGCAATATCAAGATTTGAACCCGGGTCTGTTCAAACAAAGATAACAATTACAACCAGTTACACTAAACAAATTTATTGCATCCTTCTTGATACAAAACATAGACAAAGTTAACCTCTGAAAATCAGAGGACTTTTTCATCATAATTAGCAAGCTCACTAAGTCTACCGTATGTATTTTTATCGAGCTTGATACTTCTATTTTCATAGTAGAGTTTCATGTAATTTTTTTAATTTTAAATTCCCGCTCTCTCCTTAATTTTTGCTAAAGGTAAATGGGTAATTGGCTAACATGGAAGAAACTAATTATGTAACTACGTGTTGTATCCTTGCATTTTTCAATTTAAATTTAAATTTTGTGATTTTTTTATCTTTGTTCTTTTCTCTTTCTAACTTCCTCCGAAATTTCATCCTTCGTGCAATAGTTTGCGCCTTTCACTTCCCAGTACAAGACTGTCATTGAAAAATCAATCTTCAGGTATCTCTTGGCACTACGGTTTTATTGTTGGGGATTTTAAGCTGGGCGAGTAGAAGATTTCAACTCTGATATCAATCCATGGCGAATAGAATGGAGTTCATCAATAACTGGAGTTGTAGAAGGAGGATTAGAAATTGAATTTTTGGTTGAATATATGCCTCTTGAGATAGAAATTTGGTTGTACAACGGAGAGTGGTGACTATTGGGTCTTTAGGTTTATGGTTTTTGCAACTGTCACAACCTATTTCTATCTTAAAACGAGGAATCATTGATTAATTGTTTGAAATAGGTCGCTTCTTTATTCAACGTACTGGAACTAATAGATAAGGAGTGTCTAATTTTGCGCCTTATTAGTTTGATCGAGTCTATTCGTATATTGGAGATAACCCTGATTTTTTCGTTTGCTCTCAAGTTGTGATGGTCCTCTCTTAGTTGAGTTTTTAGTATATAGATGACTTGAATCAACAACTCTCCATTTCTTTTTGATTAGTGACATATTGTTTCTAAAAGGAGAGCATTGAACCCTTTATATAGGATTGTGATGATTAAGATTTAGTTTCAAACTATCTATGAATCGTGTGAGAATTTCAGTGAGCTTTTATACTCTATATTTCTTGACTGTAAAAAAAAACTAACCAATAGCATTTTAACATGGACTTAATTAGCATTATGAAAATGGGGTCAATGATACATTTTTATATTTTATATTCTTAAATGATTATGATATTTCTCCGAATGTTTGACCTATATATTATTTCTTTATGTATCATCTCGATCGAATGATTATCAATAAGATTAAACGGGTTAATAGACTTAAAAGTAACATAAAAATACAAATAATCAAATATGAGCATTCCGGCCAAAGGGCCGGGTTATAAGCTAGATAGATTAAAAGGTATTGTTGGACCCGCTCTTAGATCAATTACTTTGCATCTTATACTCTCTTTTTTTTTTTTTTTTTTTTGCTGAAACCTTATATGTTGTTTTCTATATATCCTAAAAATAATCAACACTAGACTCTATATCTCTTCTCTTATGAGGACATTATGAAATATTATTTATTTACAAGTAATTCTTAATTCAAGAATAATTTCAATGGTGTCCCTTTTTTTGTTATTGTAGTAATGCCTAACCATGTTAGGACATTCTTAATGTAGTAAACTCGACGACAATAGTCGTAGATCGGGATCATGTCACCTAGGATATTAGTATTTAAAAGATAGATCATATGTTTGGAATTGTTGAGTTTTTTCTTAATAACTTACAAGCTGGGTAACTAAAAATTACTACTTTCACATACTCAAATACTTACTAACTTGAATTCACAAAATGCTCACACTTAATACTATGGACCTCACCACTTCCTATCTACTCTCGCAATCACACCACTCACAATAACAACTACACGGCCCCATCTCTTTAATACTTGTAAATGCATTCCTTCCACGCCTTAGATAAGGCTTATGGAATTCCATCCATCCAATCTTTCTCCACGTGCTTCTCCCCTTCTCTATTCCATTTTTTTTTTATTTCAATCGCTAAATATCTATTCCATATTTTTCCTTACTAATTTATTAACCAAATATAAGGAGATAAAATTTGTGAATGGATGTTTAGAGGAGTTAGACCTCGGCTCCAATCAACCTCTGCAAAAGGCTATCGGTTCACATTCTCAGCCTCCTTCATCCCCTACCATCCTTGATCTACTACCTAATTATTTCTAACGGGAGATAAACTGTGATGGAATTTTTCTCCTCGAATTCCAGGTGACAACATATGGTGTTGTTCTTCAACAACTGTGGTGGAAGTTAAGGCTTTATTGACTGCTTTGAAGTTGACTCAAGATTCAGGTTTGACTACGATTATCTTCTCCGATTGCTGAATTATTATCAACATTGTATTGGATCGGAGCAGATAATGGTTGTGGCAAGTTAAGGCGTGGATCCAATGTATGAAGCAGATTCTATCACAAAACGACGAGGTTATGGTGGCTTTTACTAACAGAAGGAACAATAAATGTGTTGATTGGGTAGCGAAATAAAAGTATTAAGTTCTCTTCCTTCTTAGTGGATTCAAATTCTGGAGTTAATTTCCCCTTTGCTATAATAGGCCGAGCTTGAATAACATACAGAGTACTCCATGTACTTGTCCACAATCTCCCACATATCTTGTCCACACAATTAGAACTCTATACGAGTATTTCATCTATTGTAATTGTTGTTGTTACGCCTCTAATACTACTTGTTGAATTTTTCTGGATTAGATAAGCTATGAAATAATATTTACTAATTGTGGTGTCTAAAACTTACAACTTTTTACAAACTCAAGTCATAACTTTTATGATTTTACAACAAGCTCACACTTAATACTATCAACCTCACCACTTTCCTATCTATCCTCACAATCACACAACTCACTCTCACAAGTCTCACGATCACTCTTTTCTTTCCCTCTAGCTCACCACTTGCACACATAAGAACAAGGCCCCCTCCATTTATGCATACTTTCTTAGTTTTTTTTTTTTGGCCATATTTCTTTGTTAAGGCTCTATATTTTTATTTCAACCTAACTGTTCTAGATTTTATATAGATTTCTCATGAATTTTATTGAAGTCACGATGCCAAAACCTAACTATTAATTTTGATGTATAAAGTATGATGGATCCATGTACGTTTCAAGTCGATAGATGCTACATGTGAATGAATTAGTATAAAGTCCCTACTCAAACTTTTTCTTAAGAGTCGTTTGGATTGAGTATTGAGCAAATTTGTTATTTGGGGTTAATTCCCACACAAATACCACATAATATAAAACTTGTTATTTGATATGTGATATTTGGTCTCAAACATGTTATTTGACAAATACTGCCCCTCCCCAAGTATTTGGCAAACAACACGTTCTGTTCTGTGTTATTTTGTCTCAAACCTGTTATTTGGCAAAACACCACATCCAAATAACACATTCAATTTTTTTTGTCAGCCAAACATGTAATTTGGAGTCAAATAACACATCCCAAAATATTCAATCCAAAATAACTCTTTAAACAATTTGAGTTATTGAAATCAATTAATTCTCTATTATTATTTAACCTTTGACCTATGATAACAAAAATCGTACAAACTTGCAATCCCGGGAGCAAAACAACGCAGTACTTCCCACCAACACCATATGCATCTTTCTGGCCAAAGGTTTTGCAATCACCAAGTAGCAGGCAGTTTCACTCTATTACACTAGAGGTCGTTTGTACGAATTAATTGACAATGTGGTATCTGTAGGGTCAAATAACTTATTAATTGTTTATGTGGTGAAAAATAATGTTATTTTAGCGATAATTGGATTAAAGTATCTCATTTAGTTAAACCATGCACATGTGATGTTTGGAAAAAGAAAAAAAAAATTATTTCGAAATAACTAAAAAGGGTAGAATTTTTTAAATCAACTCACAACCCAAATAACTCATTTGAGTGAAATACTGCCAAACAAGTTATTTTGGTCTAAATAACCTAATCAAATCCCTAAATTGTTGCAAATGAGCTCTGCCATTACATTACATCAAGCTCGAAATTGTGAGAAACCTTTTTCCAGCCGGCCCTAAATAAGTAAACGAGCATCTTATTAATTGCAAATCAGCACTGCCATTACATTACATCAACTGTCACAGTTTCTCTAACCCTAACCACTCTCTCTACAGTAACAACACCTCCAAATTCAAATCCTTTCCCATCCATAGAAACCTTTTAGGGCCATGTGTTCCTTTTCTGTCCTAGTCTTTCCCCAAACGCAAAACAATGATCCTGAAGGTGACGCTTACCAGCCACTCAATGAACTGGGCCATACCTATCCCAAGTTGATCACAATTTAACCGTTTAACAGGTTCGTTCCGTTTCAATAGGCTTGATCCTTGGCTTTCTCCCTTCAAAGGGTAGATATTAAGTTAACGACTTGGCCCGTGCCAAAAAGGTATCAAAAAACTGTTCATATCGTAACAAAATAAAAACTCTTTTATCGTTAGTCAGTCGTTGATTCATCGACTTACGTCCCTTCTCATTTTCCTTTTTAAGTTGAGCCTGGAAAGCTTTAGTTTTGTACCCTTTTTAGGAATATCTACCGGGAAAAGAAAACAGTTTTAACTTCCGCCCCTCTATTAAAAGCCACAACCTTTCTCTTTTATCATTCAGCCTGAAACAACATCCCTGAGAAGTGGGGTGAGAAAGCTCAGAAAACCCCAATAATGGCGACTTCAGGGAGATTCGGCAGCGGCAGGATGAGCACGGGGGAGAGAGTGTTTTCCACGTCAGCACGAGCCGACGAAGAAGACGACGAGGAAGCACTGAAATGGGCTGCTCTGGAAAAGATCCCCACTTACCTGAGAATCAGAAGAGGGCTTCTGAACGAAGACCAAGGGAAATCCAAGGAGGTGGAAATCACCGACTTAGGGTTCTTGGAGAAGAGGAACTTGCTGGACAGGCTTGTGAGGATTGCTGATGAAGATAATGAGAAGTTCCTGCTCAAGCTCAAGAGTCGCATTGATAGGTAAGAGAAAAAAATGTTGTGGGTGTAACATAATTTCGTACGTTTTGGATTACTCACATGTCACGTGTTTAATTTCTGTAGAGTCGGGCTGGAAATGCCGACGATTGAAGTGAGGTTCGAGCATTTGAAGGTGGAGGCAGAGGCTCATGTTGGAGGCAGGGCATTGCCTACAATGTTCAACTTCTCTGTCAACATGTTTGAGGTAAATTTGTACATTGTAGTAATGGTAATGAAGAGCAATAATTTTTTTTTTTTCTGAATCAAAATAACATGTGTTTAATTTGAAGGAAATCTTCAACTCTCTTCACATTCTACCAAGCAGAAAGAAGCCACTGCCAATTCTTAATGATGTTAGTGGAATCATCAAGCCAGGAAGGTTAGTAGAGCTTACTTGTCTCGTTACAAATAATATCTAAAATCTGAAAAGGTTATCTGATTTCTGTTTTCTATTGTCATTTCTTTTATTGGGTTAACGATATTTTTTAATCCATTTACTGTGAGCTAGCAAAAATAGTTTGACTATGAATTTTAATAAGCAAGTTGCTTTAGTTTTCAATTTAGTATATCCTGATTTAGTCTCACTGTTAAAATAATGTCAATATTTGTTTTTAGTTTACTACGTCATGTATCCTATTTAGTCTAAATGTTAAAAACACCCCATCCTCGTCAACCCTCGAGCACTCCTCGCAATTTACAGAATTTGTTAACTATGTATAAAAGAGGAAATTTTCCCACACGTTAATTTACAGAATTTTTGGGAAATATGTGCGGATTTTTAATTAGGTTTTTCACGTTTTTTTTTAAATAGCTTCTTAAGCCATCTTTTAACCAAAAAAATTTACCCTAATGTTTAATATGTTCTTATATTAGAAATTACTTATCACGCGACAATATACATCATTTTTAAATGTATAAATATTACAGATTTCAAATGCACGTAATATAAAAAAAAGTTGACATACATACCATAAATATTTTCAAAAGGTGGATATAACAAAGGCTAGTAATGGTTTGATCCGCACCGGATGAATTCGACGATTGGACCTCATCGAACATATTGAGTGTGATTTTTGTCCTATAATTTTTATAAATATTGAAAAAATTGACCGGATTAATGCCGAGCCCGTATTACCCCGAGAGGGGGGAGATGCTAGTTCTTTAGTCTGATCTCAATTTTGCCTGCCAACTTCCAAATTTTGCAGAATGACACTGCTTTTAGGTCCTCCTGCCTCGGGAAAGACTACCTTATTGCTTGCTTTGGCTGGAAAACTTAGTAAAGATCTTAAGGTAACTATGCTTGACCTTGGTTTTTAGACCCCCCAGCCTTATTTGTAAGTTGTAACCTTCCTTGCGATGAATTAACTCTTTTTTTCTTCTTCTTTCTTTGGGAAGTTTTCCGGAAAAGTTACATACAATGGTCATGAAATGAATGAGTTTGTACCCCAGAGAACTTCAGCTTACATCAGTCAGTATGACCTTCATATTGGAGAAATGACTGTCAGAGAAACCCTAGCTTTCTCTGCAAGATGTCAGGGAGTTGGACCCCAAAATGGTTCGTTAGTTAGTTCGTTACATGCTTCTACTGCAATCTACCTAGTGTCGTTGTTGTTTGGGAGTATTCCAGCTTAATGGCTCCGTAAAACCACTTCCTAATGCCTGCAGACATTCTGACTGAACTATGTAGAAGAGAGAAAACCGCAAAAATAAAGCCAGATCCTGACATTGATCTCTTCATGAAGGTGAGAAATCAAAACCAAATCAAAATATTACACCTATTTGATTAGTTCAATGTAGTCGTGAACTAACAAGCTATAGTTCTTGGTGGAATCTTGCAGGCGGCAGCACTGGAAGGCCAAGAAGCCAATGTGGTTACTGACTACATTCTCAAGGTATGTATGAAAAACATAATTCCAATTCCGTGGTAAAAAAAATGTGTCTTTAGTGTTTACGTCTGGTTTAACCATCATTCTGTTTTCCCCCCCACAGATCTTAGGGCTTGAAGTTTGTGCTGATACACTGGTAGGCGACGAAATGGTTCGAGGTATCTCAGGCGGGCAAAAGAAGCGAGTTACAACGGGTAAAAACGGTTGACACCATCATTATTGAAAAATTCTAATGCTCAAGCTCCAATCTTTTTACTCTCGTACTTTGATCATGATGATGCAGGGGAGATGATGGTTGGACCGTCAAGAGCACTATTCATGGATGAAATATCTACTGGTTTGGACAGCTCAACAACCTTCCAAATCATCAATTCACTAAGACAATCCATCCATATTCTCGAGGGAACTGCTCTTATCTCTCTTTTGCAACCTGCACCAGAAACCTATGATCTCTTTGATGATATTGTTCTTCTCTCCGACGGCTACATTGTCTACCAGGGCCCTCGTGAAAATGTGCTTGAGTTCTTCGAGCACATGGGATTTAGATGCCCGGAGAGGAAAGGAGTAGCAGATTTCTTGCAGGAAGTAACATCAAGAAAGGATCAGGAGCAGTACTGGGTGAGAAGAGATGAGCCTTACAACTTCATCGCTTCGATGGAATTTGCAGAAGCATTTCAGTCGTTCCACATTGGCAGGAAGCAAGGAGATGAGCTGGCAACTCCATTCGACAAGTTGAAAAGCCACCCTGCTGCACTAACGACCAAGAAATTCGGTGTCAACATGAAGGAACTTTTGAAAGCTTGCATCGCGAGGGAGTATTTGCTCATGAAGAGAAACTCGTTTATCTACGCTTTCAAGATGACTCAGGTTATGGTTGTGGCTTTCTTGACAACGACAGTGTTCTTGAGGACAAACATGCATCACGAGACAGTGAATGATGGAGGGATTTACCTGGGAGTTATCTTCTTTGGGATGTTTGTCATTGTTTTCAATGGGCTCTCAGAGGTGGCAATGACGATCCACAAGCTTCCCGTGTTCTACAAGCAAAGAGACCTTCTCTTCTTCCCTGCATGGGCATATGCTCTTCCTACTTGGGTGCTCAAGATCCCCATCACGTTTGTAGAGGTTGCAATATGGGTCATCCTCACTTACTATCCTGTTGGTTTTGATCCAAACATTGGAAGGTAAAGCAAAGTCGCTAATGAATTTTATAGTAGAAGTATAGACTTTGGACAGTGCAGTGGCGATTCCGAGTCAGCTCTTACAAAATTATGCACTTATAAGTTTACTTAACTAAAATATGGACTGATTTTGTGCTGAAACTATTTGAATTCTATGCATAGTCTATGTTTTGACTACCTTGCACATACAAGTTGATGAAATTATAGAGAAATATTGATGGCAGGTTTGTGAAGCAGTACCTGTTATTCGTTCTCGCAAACCAGATGGCTTCTGGATTATTCCGACTCATAGGAGCAGTAGGAAGGAACATGATCGTTGCTAATACAGTCGGGTCATTCGTTATGATTACCCTCTTAGTGTTGGGTGGATTCATCATCTCAAGAGGTAGTGGTAGTAGTAGTCACACATGTATGTTGAATCTTCTTTGAGCTCAACCCGTGCTGAAACTGTTAATTTATTTCAGTAAATGTGAAGATATGGTGGCTCTGGGGTTACTGGATCTCGCCGTTGATGTATTTGCAGAATAGCCTCACTGTCAACGAATTTCTCAGCCACAGTTGGAGTCATGTGCCTCACAACTCAACTGAGTCGCTTGGGGTTCAGATCCTCAAGTCTCGTGGTTATTTCCCCTATGCATACTGGTATTGGATTGGAGTTGGAGCACTGACTGGATCCATGCTTCTCTTCAATCTCCTCTTCATTTTTGCTCTCAAGTATCTATACCGTGAGCATCTATGTCCTACACCCACCAACTGAACCTATTTGCCACCTCTACCTCTACTATCTACCGAGTCCCCCCCCCCCCTGATTTTTTCTGGTGTTCATGATGTTGTTGTTGCAGCATTTGGCAAGCCACAGACGATCATACTAAAGGAAGACTCAGAAGAGAACACAACTTCATGTACAACTACTATTGACCTGTCAGAAAGAGGTAATAACGAAAGCGGGAGAAGTATTTCATCCAGAACCCCATCACCAAGAGTTGGCAACTTAAATCAAGTCAAGAGAAGAGGATTGGTTCTTCCATTCCTTCCACTCTCCATCACCTTTGAAGACATCAGGTATTCCGTAGACATGCCACAGGAGATGAAATGTCAGGGGATCCTGGAGGATCGTCTGGAGCTTCTTAAGGGGGTCAGTGGAGCTTTCAGACCAGGAGTCTTGACAGCACTTATGGGAGTCAGTGGAGCTGGGAAAACTACTCTGATGGATGTTCTTGCTGGAAGGAAAACCGGTGGATATATTGAAGGAAATATTAAGATTTCAGGGTACCCAAAAAAACAAGAAACTTTCGCTAGAATAGCAGGTTATTGTGAGCAGACAGATATTCATTCCCCTAATGTTACCGTGTATGAGTCGTTGATCTTCTCTGTATGGCTCAGGCTTTCTCCGGAATCAAACTCCGATACACGAAAGGTTAGCACACTGACTTTTGTTTATTTTGTGGATAAAAGTTCTCCAAGTTTCCAAGACATTGTAAATGTTTTTGTGATTCTGCAGATGTTTGTTGAGGAAGTGATGGAGCTAGTAGAGCTCACTCCACTGAGAGATGCACTCGTGGGGTTACCCGGAGTGAATGGTTTATCAACTGAGCAGAGGAAGAGGCTGACCATTGCAGTTGAGCTTGTGGCCAATCCTTCCATAATCTTCATGGATGAACCAACTTCTGGGCTCGATGCAAGAGCAGCAGCAATTGTAATGCGAACTGTGAGGAACACAGTTGATACTGGGAGAACCGTGGTCTGCACCATTCATCAGCCTAGCATTGACATATTTGATGCTTTCGATGAGGTAAGGACTATGCATTAAGCATTGTCTGCTTTAATCATAAACTACCAAGTTTTTATTTATCTGAAATGCACGCAGTTACTCCTACTGAAGAGGGGAGGGGAGGAAATCTTTGTCGGTCCAATTGGTCCCCATGCATGCTATCTCATCAATTACTTTGAGGCAGTAGATGGAGTTTCAAAGATAAAAGATGGATACAATCCAGCAACATGGATGTTAGAGGTAACTACAGCAGGACAAGAAGATGCTCTTGGGGTCAACTTCACGGACATATATAAGAACTCAGAATTGTACAGGAGGAACAAGGACTTGATCAAGGAGCTAAGTTCACCACTACCAGGTTCCAACGATCTCTTCTTCCAGAGGCAATACGCTCAAACATTCTTCACCCAATGCATGGCTTGTCTGAAGAAGCAGCAATGGTCTTACTGGCGAAACCCGCCTTATAATGCTGTGAGATTCCTCAGCACAACATTCATAGCTCTTATGTTTGGGACAATATTCTGGAATCTAGGCTCTAAAAGGTATGTGATAAAATGAAGTAAAAAATGCAACATCTCTTCAATCTGGTCTTCCCCCATCTCCTGCGGATGTAAATAATGAAACTCCCTTTGATTTTTTTTTTTTTTGCAGAGGAAAGCCTCAGGATATTCTGAACTCAATGGGTTCCATGTTTGCAGCAGTTCTGTTCATAGGATTCCAGAACAATACAGCAGTGCAACCAGTCGTATTCATAGAGAGAACAGTTTTCTACAGAGAAAGAGCAGCTGGGATGTACTCCGCATTGCCATACGCCTTTGGACAAGTGGTGATTGAAATTCCATACAATCTAATTCAAACCCTCGTCTATGGAGTCATAGTATACACCATGATTGGTTTCGAGTGGACGGCAGTCAAGTTCTTCTGGTACATGTTCTACATGTACTTCACATTGATGTACTTCACTCTTTATGGGATGATGACGGTTGGCATCACTCCAAACCACCACATTGCTGCCATAATTTCAACTGCCTTCTTTGGATTTTGGAACCTGTTCTCAGGCTTTATCATGCCTCGCCCGGTAAGCCACCTTCTCACTTGCTCATCCACCCTTTCTACTACTTTAAGTTGCTTCCAACTGACTGAAGTTAACATGGATTAACTTCCAGAGGATACCAATCTGGTGGAGATGGTACTATTGGGCATGCCCAGTTGCTTGGACATTGTACGGACTGGTGGCTTCACAATATGGTGACATTGCAGAGACCTTTGATGGTAGCGACGAAACCGTAGAGGAGTTCCTCCGAGACTACTTCGGCTATCGACATGACTTCGTTGGGGTAGTTGCCATCGTTCTTGTGGGAATTTCATTCCTTTTTGGCTTCATGTTCGCAGTCTCCATCAAGGCCTTTAATTTCCAGAAGAGATGAGACAAGTTTCCAAATATCTGTATACGGTAAGCAGCTGCCTATATGTTGAAGTAACATAATGCAAAATTAGTAATTACCTACACACCAAATTTGTATCTTCGATCTTCCTTCTCCTTTTTGCTTGTTCTGCTATTCAACTGCAGTTTTACCAAAGAACATGCCAATCATGATCTCATCTGAAGTGCCCTTGAACTGAAAAGGGTTACATCCAAACAGAAATATAGCAACTATAACTCTTGAAATCTTCATAGTATGAATGACCTGTTAACAAAAATAAAGGAACTTCACCCTACACCATGCTACCAAACATTACACAAACTTCCATGCCGAACAAGTTAAACAAAGAGGGAAAAAGTCAAAAGACACGGTACAGATGCTAAGACTTCAAATCCTAATGCCTCCGCGCAATCCACCAAACTTAAAAGTACAGATGCTAAGACTTCAAATCCTAATGCCTCCGCGCAATCCACCAAACTTAAAAGTCCCAGGTAACCATCTCATTATTTGGGGTTTCTTGAGAACCAAGGAATAAATGCCTCCAACATTAAGGCATATGCCTTAACAACTTCAAAGAGAGAGCAGATTATGAAGCAAATTACCATCTTCTTGCAGCCGTATATGTTACAGTTGGGAGTGACTCATCAATACCTCAAACTACACCTAATACATTCAAATTAGTGGACTCTTCTGGGAAAATTGGAATCAGGGGAACCACTAATCATCGCTACCGTCTCAATTAGCCAAGTCATCCAAGAAACTCTGCAGCTCCCTCAAGCCCTCGGCAGAGAAGCTCCTCCGCACCCTAGAACGTGGAGCAACCAAGTTCGGGGGAGGCCCAGACTGAAAGCAAACAACAACTGCAGATAGATTGTCCCCACTCTTCCTCTTTAGGGCTTCATCAACCAGATCTTTGCTACACACGAAGGGATCATTGTGCTCCTGAAGCCTCCGCCAGGCAAAGTCTACTGCATTTTGGCTCCTGAACACATCCCATATTCCATCACATCCTATGATGAGGAATTCATCATCTTCTGTCAGTTCAGTGGTTATTAGCTCAGGCTCGGCACTAAGCGGGCCACCTTCCTGGGCTTTCAGTCCTTCCACGTGCCAATCTCCTATTGCCCGAGCAACATTGAGCTGTCCATTTAGGTAGCCGTCATAAACAGATCCGCCAGATGCCTCTATGCGTTTTTGTTCTCTGGCGCAGCCTGGCTTGTGATCCCGAGACATCTCAACTGCTTTGCCACGCCGAGAAAGCACTGCCCGGCAGTCTCCAGCATTTGCCACCACCAATAACCTGCCATCACAGACTGAAAATCAAGAAACCAAACAAACAACTCTGATATTAATATATGAAAGAACCCTATTACCCTGCAAAGAAATGGCATAGTAAGCAAAAGGATCTCAAAAAAAAAATTGTACTTAAATAGCATTTAGTATTGACAGACACAGACAGTAAAGGGCCAAGTCATTGAACTTGTTGAGTTCAACACAGCATTCTAATTCTGTTGTCACGACATTCTAGAGCCCCTTCAAACACTAAAGGACCGCTAAAAGCCAAGGTGTGTGATGCACTACAAGGGGCATGATATATCTAAGCCCTGCATATATAAGTACAAGTTGCAAAAAGAGTCTCCAAAAAAAGTCATGTAAATTTCAAAGAGGTGCTTCATTCTTATAGATACTTAAATGATAAGTCACCAAACCATCCGTACACTTGAGTCATTAACCGCATATATAGTTGCGAGATAAAAACGTCTGCTAACCTTCCCATAACAAGAGCAACCAATGCAGTAGTGCCAGAAGCAAGACCAGCATCAAGCAAGCATGCCTCTGCAAAAGCACTATCAGTCTGCTGAAAAGCAGATGCAATGACCCTTTCTAGATCTCTTGGGAAGTCTTCATCTTCAATGATGAATCTCGGCAAATGGTGGCATGCAAAATCTGCAGCATGTTTCCCTCCATGACCATCAAAAACCTGGTCGTCGTGTCATAAACATCAAAAGTTGGGCACAACATTCTAGTGGATGTCCAATATTTGCAGAATAATCATCAGTGAAGACCGAAAAAAATACTGCACAAGGATCAATGATGAAAACATATCATTTCTTTTGAAACAAAGAGGCAAGAAGAACAACCGACATAAAAAGCCTGGAGTCTTAATATTTGCCACAATCATGCGGACCAAGCTAACATAACAGTCTATCCTGTATTCATCAATTTTGTCATGAGAAGACTGACAAATGCTACAATACCATAAACCTAATGAACATTTGGTGATTAAATTATCCAGAACCTAAGCATTCACCAAAAGGAGGAAGAGATCACAATTGAAAGACCAAAGAGAAGTACCCCGTAGAAGGCGTTAGGCCCATCAGTATCGTGTCCGAGACCATAATCAATTGTGAAATCATCAATACAAGTATAGACATCCTCCATTCTGGGGCGAAAGCCAATATCCGAAAAGGCTCCTGACCGGACAATGGGAGTGTAATCAGGACCATGAGTCCGTATACTCACTTCAGATTCCAAAGAGATTTCAAAGGCAGATGTCTTCACCTGCATAAATATGCTAGTAAGAATCCCAAATGAAATGCACAAAGAATACTAAGTAGAAGAAACTGCAACACCGACAAAAGTGAGCTAAACATGTAAAATGGCTTTATTTCACACACATACGAACATACTGAAAAGTGAAAAAAAAGACATTTCACTCAGTGTGATAGCAAAAAGCTGTGAATAATCCATCAAAGTGACAAATGCTCCCCAGTAAAAATGCAAGCCAAAGCAGGAGTTCACGGTAGCAAGTCCAAACTCTACTTCATCACCGAAACCCCTAAGCTGGAAAAGCGTATAGTCGTACACCTTCAATAGCCAAGCCAAGTGAGATTAAAAGTTCCAACCTTTACAGGAAAACACTAGTCCACCCAATTTGAATGATAACCCATTACATAAAGCAACACTAAGCAAGGGCCAAACTCGACCTCAGTTCACTACAGAAAAAAAGAGGCCAAGAAGCGGGAGCAGGAGGAACTTACAAGAGACGGATGGCGAACCAGAGTCCTCTTACAAGACACAGGCACACCAGCATTGGCGAAACACTGCCGGTACGACGACGGCGGAGGTGGAGGGAGGCTGGGAGCAGGCAGCCTACGATTACCATTGCTAGAGCTCCCATTGCTTTTTTCCCCACCATCAACAGCATACCCATTCGTTCCCTCCATCTTCTTCACATCTCTGTTCACCACCAAACCAATATCTCCTATAACCCCAAACCCGTGGGGGGGGGGGGGGGGAACTCCTCCCTTTTTCCTTCGTTCTACTGTTTCGTCACAACAACAATAGTGAGGGCGGAAAACTGTAACAACCTGTACAGCTGAAAGTGACGTGTAAAGTGGGAGGAAGTATAAATAGGGAGAGAGAGTTCTGTTATTGGGATCCTTTTGGAAAATCATTCTTCTGTAAAACAGCTTTACTCTTTAGATAAATAACATAGCTCTTTCCCTATTCTCCCAAGCTTCGTCTTCTACCTTCTTCTCCCCTCTTCGCCAGATATCACTCTTCCAGGACCTTACAAAAACCCAATTGGGTAGCGATAGCGAACCGTTCAGGAAGGATAGTAAGAAAGAGAGAGACGTTTAGCGAGTTTGACTGGAAGAGTTCAGCGTCGGTTGTCTACACATAATATAATACACTGAAGGGAAAAACATGAGCCTCATTTCAAATTTCCTGCAACGAGAGTGAAAGTAGGAAGGACATTTTGGTCTTCACAATTACTTTTTTTTATTCATTAAAAAGACACGTACTGGGATTTGAACCATGACCATTTTAAAGAAAAGCAAGGATCATAACCAATCACACTAAGTACATTTGTTGTATCTTTTTAAATTAAAAACGTATAATAGCATGGAGGAAAAAACCCTTCTCCCATTTCGAATTCCCTGCTCCATGAGCGTTTGTAGGAAGGGTAGAATAAGGAGTGCCAATTTTTTTTCTCTTTCCTTTGTGGAATGGGCCAACTTACCGTACACATGCAGATTTAAACGGGTCCAGGAGTGTCAATTTTTTTCTTTAAGCTCTTTTATTTCTCCATGGTGATAAAATATATATGAAAAGACAAAAACAATAATCCTTTTTATTTCTAAAAATAAAAAATTTAACAATAAACTAATGCATGGTATCTAATGGGCTACCCGCTAACCATAAAATAAAAGAGTTGAATGGGCCTTACCTACACGGGATTTGGCCATCAAGTAAACAAATGAACATCATTGGTTTGTCATTCTAAAAACGTTTGTAGGAAGATTAGAATAGGGAGTGTCAATTTTTTTTCTCTTTCCTCTGTGGAACGGGTAAACTTACCGTACACATGCGGATTTAAACGGGTCTAGGAGTGTCAATTTTTTTCTTTAAGCTCTTTTATTTCTCCGTGGTGATAAAATATACATGAAAAGACAAAAACAATACTCTTTTTTATTGCTAAAAATAAAAAATTTAACAATAAACTAATGCATGGTATCTAATGGGCTAACCGCTAACCATAAAATAAAAGAGTTGAATGGGCCTGTCCTACACGGGATTTGACCATCAAGTAAAACAAATGAACATCATTGGTTTGTCATTCTAAAACAAGCTATTTTCTCTGGCATAATATATATTATGCTATTATTTTATATCTTAGTGGCTAAAATATAATGTATTTTAAAGTTATTCAATGGTACAACCTCGACCAACCCAATTAGTACAATTTTTATCATTTCAAATATATATTATATAATTATTTGATATCATAATGATCAAATTATAGTGTATTTTGCAGGGAACCGTTTGGTATTTGTTAGTAAAAAACTAAACAGAAAGATCAATTTGGTTATTTTAAACATTAAAACGATCCTAAGCATTTTCAGTTCCTTTTGAATTTCTATGGTTTTATTCCCGAAGAAGTGATGTGCAAATGGCGAAATGCAGTCATCTCTTTTCTTTCACTATTTTTTATTTTCAAATAGAAAGTTTAAAAGTAAAGAATAATTAGAATTTGGCATGGGTCACTCAAACATGATAAATTTCAAGTTTTGGCCCGTTTTAATCAAGTCTAATTTATAATCACATGCTTCCCCGATACCCGATAAAAATCTCAATCCAAACCAGTTTGGCAGGTGAGCCTGTGTTGACCACAATTTTCTAGGCATACGAAACGGAGGTTCCTATCCCAAATCGTGTTGTTCGTTCTTGATTTCCTTAGATTTTATCATGGCCTGACAAAAATCAGAAAGCACAGTGACGAGAAGATGAAAGTCTTATAAAGCAAATTAATCGACCAACGGGCTGAGTAAAAGCTAGCAACAATTGTGAGATACTCATTTCCCGAAAACCGACGGGATAGGCGATTTTTTATTCAATTTTCTGGAATTCGGTTTATATAAAACTTACTACACCTCATCATATTACCAGAAACAATATTGTTTCACAAGGTAACATGTACTTGATTTTGGTTCATAAGGCCGATTTTTGATCCATTGCATCATTCATGTCTCTTTCCTGCTAAAATTCACTATTTTTATCACGAGTTTCCCAAAAAAAATTATACAACAATAAGCTATACACCCCATTACATTATAAAATTTCATACCTCACCTTCCTCCGGCCAACTGGCCGGGCCCATGCTAGTTGTTGACTAGGGTTCTTCTGTGCTCAGTTGCCGTTGAAGAAAGAAAAAGAAACGAGCTTTCTAGAGAGAGACAGATGCGGGAAATAGGGGTGCTATAAGGAAGTTACAGAAGATTGCAATGGTCCGGGGATTCGGATCTACAAATTCCGAAACAAGGTCGTGTCGAGCCACCGCTCCGCCAGAGAGAGAAGAGACTCGTGGCGATATATACACTCAACGCAACGCAACGATTTGTTGTTTGTGCTTTCCCTTCAGGGTCAATAACAGCTGGTGGCCGGGTTCGGTAGTAGGTCAGAGATCGGCAAGTAACGGCGATGTTTGAAGTAAAGTTGTAAACGTCGGCAGTCAAGTAAACGGATCACCATACAATCATCTCAACATTAACTGACAGATTTTAGAACTGTTTTGTCACCACAAAAATCTCAGAGTACAGGTTCGTTACAAGGAGTACAACACAGGTGACCCCAATTCACAAACACACTTCACCAAATGCTCATGTCTCCACCATCGTCCATTCATTTTAGCCTTCTAACTTCTACGCTGTTGCAAAACTGCTCATGTACCTCCATTGAACTCCCCCTCAATGTCCCGACTTTAAGTGCCCTCGCTTTTCTCCAGAGCTGCAGCAACAAAGGGTAATTCGTCAGTGGAAAGAAGAGGAATAAAAGTTGAAATTAGTTGCCATTTTACACAAACAAAACAGAAACCCAGTTACGTGATGAATAATGATTCGATGCTACACATTAATTGGAGTGTTAGTGATATTCAACCAACAGCAGGTTTAAACCACACAATAATCAAATAATCATCTAGTTCCCAGATGGCATGGATTCACACGAAATTTTGGGACCTTTTTACTTGCCATAATGCTCCAAACTTAGGTATTATTCGGAGCGTCTGCCAATCTGTTTTAGCCTTTAGGAACAAATGGCAGGGTCAAACCAGCCGACTACCAAGTAAATCCGAGATGGTAAGGATTTTGTGTCCAGGATAAGAATATAGGCAACTAGCTCACCAATACAATTTGGTTCGGCCATGGACCAGAAGAACAGAAGCTCAGGCTGATATTACAACATGCATGAGCTAGCACATTCTCAATGAGTAATATGCACAAAAAAGCAAGCACCCATGCATTAGTTAGAGTGAGAAACTGAGTTACTATTGTAGTTCAGAAGCTTCTCAATGAGGTCAACATGGGTCATTAGCATCCGTCTGCAACAATAACGGACCAACCCCAATGCATCAAGTGCATCCCTGTAATGCAAATAACAAAAATGTTACAGCAGGGTTTCATCATGATTCCGGCAAGAGTTTATCCTAACCAACACACATCACGAAGATAGCCTTGTACATACCTAATCAAATGTGATGACAGAAAAAGAAAAAGAGACACAGAACTAGGGAAATACAAGCACTACAGGGCAACATACAGATACTTAAAATACCTTAGTAGAGACCAAATACACATGAATACAAATACTCAGCATTTGATTGCTAAGCAGCAACGTACAAGACGCAAATAACTACCCACAAGACTGCACCACTTAAGGGGGAAAATGAATGTGACAAGAAATATCGGCAATTCGCATAAACCAAACAAGTCTAAAGAATTGCAAGTAGCAAATGCATGTTACTTGTGCTGTTGAGAAGAATACATCATGCATTGTTCAGAGTATGCTTGTGTAGACTATGCATGTATTCTCAGAATCTAGTAGTTCTTATACTTGTGATCAAACATCTACACTCTCAGGAAATGGGGGGGAAAAGATTCTTTAAGAGGAACATAGCTCACCCTTCAGTGTAATCAGCTTGAAGAAGATCGAGGTAAGTATCCCATTTGTGCCCAATCACCTGGAAAAAAACCAATTGTACACCAAAACTTAAAACCCTACAGCACAGTATTAACAACATCCACGAACACTACAACACGGCAATCAAACTAATTACTCATGCGTCGTCACAGTACCAAACGTAAAATTGATGTTAATCCTCTGTTTCAAACCATTCTTCAGAAGAAGAAGAAAAACCCTAGATTACAATGAATTAAACGGAGCAATAGCAGAAGAACTTGCAAGTAAAACAAAAACCCAAACTAGAAATGCACTGGATACATTTGAAAAGGAGAAGCGTCCGAACCTTGCCGCAAGTGAAGCAACGGACTGGAATAATCATCTTCTTATTCCGGTGGTCGCTCTCTTGATTCTTCCTTCTCCTGCGGTCGTTCTTCGCTTTGCTCGGGAAAATAAGAACCTCCTGCGCGGGGGAAAGGGACCAAGTCTTCTCCGTTTATATAGCTGAGCGATGGGCCTGGGCCTGGGCCTGGGCCTGGGCCTGGTTATCATTTTAATGGTCTTCCGGTCCAAACATCAATATCAATATATCATAGCCAAACAAGCCTTGGGTTTTCGGTCTAGCCGAGAACACTACTTTTTCTCCGATCTCCGTTTATTTATTAGAACTATCGTGCAGTGCCAATTTACCAATTTCATCTCCGACGACGAATCCGGGGATTCGCGGTTGCGATGGGGACGGCCAGCGGGAGCGATGTGGAAGCCGGATTCGCGAAGCTGCAAGGAGAGGATTTCGAGTACTATATGCAAACCTACTCCATCGTGTTGGGAAGGAACTCGAAGAAATCGACCGTCGACGTCGATCTCACGAGCCTCGGCGGCGGGATGAACATCTCCCGCCACCACGCTCGGATCTTCTACGACTTCACCCGCCGGCGATTCGCTCTCGAGGTCCTGGGGAAAAACGGATGTTTGGTGGAAGGCGTCCTCCACCTGCCAGGGAACCCTCTCGTGAAGCTCGATTCGCAGGATCTGCTGCAAATCGGGGACAAGGAATTCTACTTTCTGCTCCCGGTGAGGAGCATTTTGGGCGGGGCGTTAGGGCCGAGGCATCACGTGCCTGTGGTGCCCCCGCCGCCGCAGTACGGGTATCATGGGGCGGAGAGGGCTTTGCTGCCGACTGCTGGCGGTGGTGCCGGGAAGAAAGGGAGACGGAAGGACTATTACGTGGCGGAGGTTGATGAGGAGGAGGAGAATAACGGCGGCGGCGGGGGGAGTAGCAGTGGGAAGAAAATGAGGAGAGATGGGTACGACGGGTATGGATACGGTTCGGGTGGTTCGTACAATGGTAAAGTTGGGTTTCATGGATCATTAGGTCAGTAGAAGAGGTGAAACTTTTGTTCTCTCGTTTCTATTCTCCTGCTGCTATCATTTTTCAAGTCATTTCAATTGTAAGAGTATGTTTAATGGCAAACTGGAATTGTTCTTGTATAGATATACATTTACTGGAAAACTGAAAAACAGCTATACATTTTCAAGCTCTGTCTGGCATATTAATGGTTGTAAGCTTTGGGTTAAAAGTTTCAGAACGATGGTTGTATTGAATGGATTGTTTTCTGCTAATTGAGTTTGTTGCCATGTCTAAAAACTCTATCGGGTAAGGATGTTATCCGAGTTCCATAGTATCGAATTGTTTGGTTTGAAATAGTTTTGATAATCAATGTGAAAGCTTTGTCATTTCTCGCAATTGTTCCTTGATAGTTGCAAGTTTGGAACTTGGAGGTCTTAATAGTTTTGCAGTCTGATGCTGCTTCCATATCAATTATGTCTCGATATGGGGCTGAAGCATTTTGTCTGGCTTAATGTGGGATTGTGTTGATATTTACCTTGAACTCTCGCAGAATCACTTTAGTCCAACTGATGATTCCATTTCTTAGATGGGAATACAGCCTCCACTATGTGTTTATACCTGAGATTGTTTTTAGTTACCCCTATTTGAGCCATTTCAAATTGCTAGACAGCTACACCCTTGGTTGAGCTATTGTTTTCAATTAAATGTGCCTCGTGGGTACTCAACAATATTGATTCAATAGATTACCTTCTCTTTCAAATAAAATTGCAAGGCTTCTACGTTGTGCAACTGGTCCTTTTGCTGATATAAAAAAGGTGAACGATTTCGAGAATTTGTGTTTGTGTTTATGTTTAGTTGAACAATTAAACTTGAATGCTACCCAATTTAGTGATTTCAATCAGGTTGATTGTTCTTTCAGAAGGATGAGAGGGGGATCCAGCAAATTGCTGTACTGTTTGGTCTATATATCATCATTTTCTCCTTATAAGCTGTATTTGCCATGTATGTGGGTGCATCTACTGACATCCCCAAATTTGTGAGCTTGTTTCCAACAAATCCAGTTGAGTTGCTGAGATCAAGTCCTTGATGATTAGAGTTAGTAGGGACTTCTTTTTATTTATAGAAGGTGGATTCATTGCTTGAAGCCGTAAACTATAAGCATGCTTGAAGTCGTAAACTATAAGCATGCTTGAAGTCAGCTATAGTTTACTTGTTGACGAACATGGTCTCATACTTTGTCTCAACTTGAAAACTAGGTTTCTATTTTTTATATCTTTGTATGGTAAATGTCTTGTCTCATAAGTCATATGTAATCCCTCCTTGATCTATGTTTGTTTTGCTGTCTGTTTGTTGGAATTGTCATGGCTCTATATTCTGCTCCTGCAGAGAATAAGGCAGATGGAAGGTCTAGAGCTGACCGTGATGCAGATGATCAACAACTCAAACAGTTGGAGGAAAAGGATGTGGTGTCATCCGTAGCCACCGTGCTATCTGATCTATGCGGGCCTGGAGAATGGATGCCTATGGAGAAACTCCATGCGGAGGTTAGTTATCGATTCTGCAGTAGAAGTCTTCCTATGATTACATGGATGTGTACATTTTTTCTTTCATTTGTGTTTTTCTGTTGTTGGCACACCCCTTTCTTGAAGTTCCCAGGTCCTCCAGACACGGTCATCTCATCAATCCACTCAAAAAGATTCTGATATGATAGAAAAATGCATTAGACACATAAAAAATATCCTTGCTCAGAATCAATTCCGTTTGGATTTGTTCTGTCATCTTGCATAATGAAAGAAAGGGATTCTTGTTCTCCATAATAGTGCTCTGCTACCTTCGATTCTACCCGTCATTGATTAGAGATGCTTAGCCTGCAATGAATAAGTAATTAAGTATGTTGTTGAGCAAGATCCTCGGAAGCTTATCAATAACCTCGTACAATTTTCTACCCGTGTTTCAGCTGTTGGAACAGTTTAGCAGTGTCTGGCATCACAGTCGAGTGAGAAGATATTTAACATCTGAGGAGTGGAAGAGCCCCGAAGCCAAGGATAAACCATGGTACGGCTTGCTCATGTTGCTGAGAAGATACCCCGAGCATTTCGTCATAAACACAAGGTCCAAAGGTCGAGTCACCCTGGAGTTTGTCTCCTTAGTTTCACTGCTCTCATAGGTAAGGCCATTTAGAGCCTTGCTTGGGATGGAGATTAATTAGAGCATGCTAATGTGTGAAGATGTAGTGGTAAACTAGGGTTCTTGTTGTTGTTGTAGTTTAGCGGGTAGTGATAGAAGTCTTTGGCAACCTTATCAGAGTTACGTAGTTTTCACTCTGTATCTACTCCAAACGACACTCAAAGACTCAACTTGTTGTTGCGTGGAGCTTGCTATGCTGATTTTGTTTCAAAAACTTGGCGTTTGGAATTGAATAGCCCCATATTCTGGTGGTTGGCGGGTAGCGTTCTGATCGTAGCTGTAAACTCATACGAAAAATCGTTTCGAGAAATCGCCTAATCTATGGCAAAAGCTTGCGAGTAACAACAAACCAACAGTAATAAACTTTAGTTGATCTATATTGGAACTAAAACTTGCAAATCCATAAAGAACGACCACCCTGGACCTTATTTTATCTATCTCGGAATCCAAACGATTCCATGCCTCTGAATTTTTCCTTGAATGACACATCAGAAACTTGTGAATCCATCATAGAAACAAAAAAACTCATGCATTCCACTCTTGCTAGAAATATCGTATGCCAGTATAGTGAAGTCGAATAATCTATTATGACTTGCAACTTCTTTTGTACAATATGAGAACTCACAGCTTGCTGAGTTACAGTTGCAGTGAAAGCCAGGCAGGTAAAACAAGTAAACAACTGGGACTCCGACAAAATCACGAAAAGGTGTTCATGCTTTTTTGAGACTCTCCTTTGGTTAGTTTTACAAGAGCTGCTCTTTGTGCGTGAAGTTGTTTCTCTCTAGCTTCTTTCTTAGCCAGGGCTTCCTCGTCGAGCACTTGTATGGGAAACCACTCAGGTAGCTTCCACCCACCGTCTTTGTTTTCCTCGCTGCCAAATATGGATTCTTTTAGACTCTTTAGTTTCGGTCTGAGTTTTATGGTAGCGAAATCAACTGAGGTCCCCGTGACAGCGAAGATGAAAGAGTAGCGAATAGCGCCGAGTTGGCCAGCTGCAACTCAGAAAACAGAAGCACTTCAGATTTCTAGAGACAGATAAGAGAGAGTCAAATAGAGGTGAAAGAGTTTACCTTGAAAACGGCCAAGAAGAGCATCTGTACTGAAACCAGCAATGGCAGAGTTTAGCAGATCATCAGGGTCTGATTTGCGCGTTACTCTTACGAACTCCCTTGCACCTGTAGAAAAGCCGTTGCGTTCCAGTTAGATCATGAATTGTCTACATAACATGTTGGCCCTTCAACAAAACGAATGGTGGACAATAACAAGTTTTTATCACAAATCATACATGTAGAGCACCTCTTATAGATTATTACAGTTATGAGTTATCAATATCCTCCTTTGAAGATAGTCTGTACTCTCAGTTTTTACATGTCTTCAACTTGAAATGGTCCCGGCGCCACTCGTCCAGGCTAATGGAAAATCTTATTAGCAATCTAATTTACCGGCTTTCTTCTAGATGTGAGTGGACATGTAAATAGTAAATTCCTACAAGTTTCTGAAGGATATCATTCAACTCAGTACTTAGATTACATATCAATCTAGTGATCTCAAAATCAAGTTGGGATTCCCCCACACAACCAATTTGTGAGAACTGCACAGGAGAATGAATTCAACCAATTCCAGGAGAAAGCAAAATCCTTCCCAAAATGTTAGCATCAATCATGCAAATATTTCAAGGTAAAACCTTTGAACATCTAATGATCTACCCTGAAATTTCCTCTGATGGGATTTCAACTAAAGCAAGCAAACCTCCAAAATCAAACCCAGGCTCTAGCCTAGGATCCTACTAAGCATTCAATGGAGGGAGTTCATTTCATTTTCATAGATGAGCCACAGTACAAGAACAATAGAAAAGGAAATTCCAGAATAGGATGGGAAGATCATTACCGCAGTAGCAACCAGTGACAATGGCGAAATTAGCAGCGTAAGCAGCAGAAACGTGAGGGAACCCTTGTACTGTCCGATGCTTAGATACCAACCCGTATCCTCCACCACCGTACCTCCATTGAACTCACCTCAATGTTCCGACTTTTAAGTGCCCTCGCTTTTCTCCAGAGCTGCAGCAACACATGGTGAATCGTCAGTGGAAAGAAAAGGCATAAAAGTTGAAATTCGTTGCCGTTTACACAAACAAAACAGAAAGCCGGTTACGTGATGAATAATGATTCGATGCTACACATTAATTGGAGTGTTAGTGATATTCAACCAACAGCAGGTTTAAACAAGACAATAATCAAATAATCATCTAGTTCCCAGATGGTATGGATTCACACGAAATTTTGGGACCTTTTTACTTGCCATAATGCTCCAAACTTAAGTATTATTTGGAGACGCCAATCTGTTTTAGCAACATATGGCAGGGTTAAACCAGTCGATTACCAAGTAAACATGCTCCAAACTTGAGTATTATTTGGAGCGTCTGCCGATCTGTTTTAGCAAACATATGGCAGGGTTAAACCAGTCGATTACCAAGTAAACAGAGCTACTCCCAGATGGTACGAATTTTGTATCCCAGATAAGAATATACGACTTGGCTCGACCATAAACCAGATGAATTGACGCTACTTTTAGGACTAATGTTACAATATGCATGTGCTAGCACATTCTATCAGTGCAACTAGTTAGAGTAGTGAGTAATATGCACACAAAAGCAAGCACCCATGCATTAGTTAGAGGGAGTTACTATTGTAGTTCAGAAGCTTCTCAATGAGGTCAACATGGGTCATGAGCATTCATCTGTAACTTGAAACAACGAGATAAGCTTCTTTTTTCCTCTACAAGGGCTCCAATTTCATCAATGTCAATAAAATCTGAAGTGTTATAATAAATGAAGTCGAGAGTGAAATGGTCACATTCATTGGAATTCTGTCAAATTGATAAGTATTCATCACTTAAGCCGACATTGGTTTTAACTTCAACCGCTCACATTCACTGGCTGTTGAAAATGAAAAGCACGAGAACTAAAATTAGTAAGAGCCCCAGGAAGCGAGTAATGAGTCGAGTCACGTATCTGGCAACCGATTTCAGTAACGATCTGACTCTAAACCGGAGGTCCAGTTTCAGCACTCGCAGCAACATCAATCGCTCAACTCCCTTGACCTCGGTCAACATTCTGCATCCTGTAATCCTCAATTCCCTCAGATTACTGAGCTTAGATAGATCTTCCAAGTCCTTCATCGACCGGCAATCTGTAATGGATAGGTTCCCCAAAGACTCCAATCCCCGGAGCCCCTTGACCTCTGTCAACTTGTTGCACCTAAAAATGTACAGCCCCCACAGATCATGAAGGCTGGACAGATCAGGCAACTCCGCAATGGACCAGCAATGATATACAAAGAGCTTTTGCAAAGACTGCAACCCCTCAAACCCGGTGATGTGGGTCAACTTCGTGCAGAGTGTTAGCTGTAACCACTGCAAATTCTTGAGCCTAGATAGGCTAGGCAACTCCCTGATCGAGCTGCAAGTTTTTATGATGAGCACCTCTAGCGATTCCAGCCCATCGAGCCCCACAATCTGGATCAACTGTCTGCACGTCAGGATCTCCAAGCGTTTGAGGTTCAGGAGGCCAGAGAGATCAGGAGTTGTGACCAGATTACCAACTTGGACAAAGGCTAAACGGCTCAGGTGCCTGAACTTTGAGATAGCATCAGGTGGTTGCATCTTCAGCTCCCACCATGACAGTGTCTCTAGCGAAGATGCCAGGGACTCAAAGCCTTCGATGCAGTCTAAGCTGGGACACCGACCTATGTCGAGATGGGATAACGATTCCTTCATTGTCATCATCCCTTGCATTTTCGATAGAAGCTGACACTCCTGAATCTCTAAAGCCTGCAACTTTATCAGTTTCACTAGGTCGGGAAGTTTTGGCAGGACCACACAGTTGCTCACCGTCAGTTTCATGAGAAGCACGAGATTTTCAAGGCCGTCGAGGCTACTTAGCCTCGGGGCATTACGTACCTCCAGAGTCGTCAACACTGTGAGCTCGCCTAGCCCACAAATCTCAGATACCCCGACCTGTACAAGTCTTAGTTCTGTCAAGTTAGTGAGGTTCGCAAGGCCCGAGAGCTTCTCCAAAGCAGCACAAAAATGAATCTGGAGGCTGGTCAGGGATGATGGGAGGGAGCCCTCCATCGTTACGAAGACAGGGGAGGCTGACGAGATCTCCAGAGTCCTCAATTTGGAGAGGCGCCATATCTCTGCAGGGATTTCAGGGCCTGCCTCACCACACCCCTCAAACTTAAGCTCCTCCAACTCCACAAGCTGCATAAGATTGGGAACACTTGGGGAGGACAAGGATAGTTGCTTTAGACTTGTGGGGAGTAAGGGTGCTTCCCTCGGGGAGGACAAGGATAGTTGCTTTAGGCTTTCGGGGAGTAGGGCCCTCGTCGTCAACATTGTTGTGCATGATGATGATGTCATTTTCAGGATTTCCAGACAGGGTAATCTGGAAAGACTGGCAGGCCATTCTGTCAAACCAGCATCCTCCGCGCTAAACTCCAGCAGATTTTCAAGCATTTCCATGTCACCGGTTATTATCTTTGCTATTTGAGTAGATCTGAGACTCAGAACTCTTAGGTTCTTGAAACCAGCAATGTGCAAGTCCCCCTTCATCTTATAACAGCTTAGAAGCTTTATCAACTCCAGGCTTGTACACGGGGACAAGTCCGGAACTCTCCTTATCTCGTGGCACTCCAGTAGAATCACAACTTTCAGCTTCTTTGCCTTCTGCATCCAAATATATGATGGCAGGTGAATCAAGGAGCACAGTCTAACTGACAGTTGTTGTAAGTTGTATCCTAAACCGTGTCAATTATGGGGTTCATAGTGAATTAACCTAAGGGGCAATAAAAACTTAAAAGGGAAACACAAAACAAATCGAATTAAAAACCTGGATTCCCTGCCAGCCTCTCCAGCCTTCTTTAATAGGACAAAAGCTCAAATCAAGAATGACCAACTTCTTCAAGTGAAGATCAGTGGGAATTGAATCACAGCTATGTAGTCGGAGGCAACATAGACTGGGAAGAACTTCTTTGAAATCCCCAGAGAGTCTGCCATAATTCACTTCAAGATACCTTAACCTAGACAGATTTTTGAATTCCTTCTCTGTGAACTCATGACGAGCTTCATTCTTTCTCATGTCAACTCTGAGGACTTCCACCTGATCACCTCCCTAACATATGGAAATGAAATGAGTACATGAGTGGGATCAGCAACTATCCTGAATAAATAAGCCAAGCCTGAGCTAGTGAATATATATATTCAGTTTGTACATTTATATACTCGCTGAAAATTATAAAAGAAAAGGTTTTCTTCAACATTTATCTATCTAATATGCATGCACACAAACAAGTCACAAAAATAGGACAAACAATACCTCTCTATTTGCTAGCATGTCCAATGCATTCTCATTGGACCATATCCTGCTGCGCTTGCATGGATTCTGAACATCTTCCTCGTTAACAATAGCTCTGCCAAGATCTCTAAGATGATCATGCATCCCCAATTGGCCCTCTTCATCGATTCTAATCAAAGACCTATGAACCAGAGTTCTCATCCCAATTTCTGGATTAAAATCACAACTACTCCACATATAAAAAGGCACTTCTTTGTAGTCGCCTATGAAAACACATGCGATATCGAGAAATATCTGTTTTTCATTGGGAGTTAGCTCGTTGTAACTAATCCTCAAAATCTGTTGCACCTCTACTGTGGGTACTTCTTTTAGCTCCTTCAACTTTGCTCTCCAGAAATTTTTGTCAGTCCGAAACAACAATGATCCTACAACCTTGAGTGCCAAAGGTAACCCTGCTGCGACCTTTAAAAACTTCTCAGCTAAAGCTGTATATTCATTTGGAGGATTATCCATCTTAAAAGCATGTTTACTAAAAAGTTGAAGAGAGTGATCATGACTCATACCTCCTGGTTCGTGCAACTTATCTGTTTGAAGTAGCTCTAGAGCTCTTTTGTCCCTTGTTGTAATAATAAATCTACTTTTTGAGGAGAAATTTCCCAACTTTCCGAAGATTTTGTCGAACTCAAACTTGGCATCGACATCATCTAGAACAATGAGAACTCTGTGTTTGCAAATTCTATCTACCATCATGTGGATTCCTTCGCTAGCATTGTTTACATTGCAATGATCATACCTCAAAACACCAGAAATGATCTTATTTTGTAAGACTACAACACCGTCGGCCTTTAATAACGTTTCTCGAACATCTTCGATAAAACAACAGCGATCGAAATGAGTGCAAACCTTATTGAAGACTGTCTTTGCTATGGTGGTCTTGCCAATGCCACCCATACCATGGATACCCACAATCATTTCACTTGCAGCATCCAGATTCAACAGCTGGACCACTTTGTTTACATGAACATCGATTCCAACCAATTCATCCGTCAACAATGTGTAATTAGTTCTCAGAAGTGAATCAACTTTAACAAAGATCTGCTCTAGTATAGCTCCATGTCTGCAAATCAGATACAGTTTTCACATTATTAGAAATTAGGTTATGATAAAGAAGAATGAAAGGAAATTGAACGGGGGAGAATAAACAAAAGCACGCATTACCCATCTGATCCTGCCACGTGCCATCCTTTCATTTTGCCAACTTCAAGGAGGGCTTCCTTCCATTGGTTTATAGTTTGTTGGTCGTGTTTCAGACTGTGGCGTCGGAATGCTTCCTCGTAAGCACCTTCTTGATGGCGCACATCTCTGGGATCGACCAAGTAGAAAATGGGGAGGATGGTGGTTCGGCCACCGCCCTTTCCCTGCTTCTTCCAGCACTCCACCATCTTCGCCAGCTCTTGAAGGCACCATTTGCTAGAAGCATAGTTTTGCGAAAAGATTGGGATAAGGATTTTGGACTCAGAGATAGCTTGGACAAGTGAAGGCGCTATCTCCTCCCCTTTGGGCAGTTCTTCCTCGTCTCTAAAAGTTCGAATCTTGGAGTGAATAAGAAAGTGGTAAAGACAATCAGCAAAGGTTTGGCGCACATCTGGCCCTCTGAAACTCAGAAAAACCTCGTACTCTCCAGTTGTAAGAGGAGGGTCTGGCATAGAAGAAGATCTCATCACTGGAAAATTAAGGATCTCACCACTAGTCCCTGCCTCTGTCTCTTTCTTTCTTTCTATGTGCTGTATCTTTTACACAGACCGAAGCAAAACCTATTTGTATATTAGTCATTTTAAGAGAAAACTACTTTTTATGCTACACAGAGGGGAGACCTAGATAATTAAACAAAGACCAAAATCCATGCCAGAAGCACATGTAAAGAGAGACAAGACAAGAATCTCGGCCAGTGGGAACTTCATCTCCTTTTGTAGTGCCTTTTCTTTCCTTCTTTTTGTGAATGCTTTGCTTCAATTTTTAAGATGTAATCATAACAACGGCAACAATTAAAGCCCAATTGTAAATAGTAATAAATAAAGTATGCCAGATATCAACAAGCCTTCACCTTGTGCAGTGAACTGGTGAGATCATTAGTTGTGCAAAGTTGATAGGAACATTGTCTACAATGTCAAACTGGTGTGCTGGGGAAGTGGATTAAATAGTCGAGAAGCATATTCAACGTCACCATGGCACCACCAAGGGCAGGTTAACTCAGATCCCCTGCAATGCAACTCAGATCCTTTTCGCAGCAAAAATAACTTACCTTTCCACATCATGAACAGTCATCAATATGAAGCAACATCAACCCCCTTTTTGCTGTAGAAAATTATTTTGCCTCAACAATGTCCTGCTAGCACAAACCACAATGCATTGCAAAGTTTGCAAGTATCCAGAAACACCACCAAGATGTCCCGGTGCTTTAGCATCTTTAGACACACATGCAAAACGTAGCACCAACCTATAGGGTACACTTCCCGCATTCTCACTCAATAGAAATCTGAACAATACAACTTGGGGGGGAAAGTAAAAAAGAAAACAGCAGGCAAGAAAGAAAGAACAGAGGTCAGAGGGAACTCACCAGCTTTAACAACAATGCTTCTCGAGAGCAAGCAGGAAATTGCATAACCCCTACTACGATCAGTAACCAATAGCAGGTCAATGACAGGACAATAATATTTGGCAGTTGTGGAGAGTATCAAGGAACCGTTCTATCAAAAGGCTAGATAAGCATTTAACTACCAATCATTTACACGCCAAAGTATTTCTGTATAATCAACAAGGGTAAATCACCATGTCGTTCGTCTTCAATCTCCGTTTGGTTTTATCCACGTTTTTTTCGTATTAAGCTTCTGTACCTCTGTCTATATCTAAGTTTTGATCCTCTCAAGCATAAAGTCTGTTCAGACGAACCAAGTAGCAAAGTATACATGGCAGGCTGGTAGCTTAAATCAGCTTCTATGCGCGATCAGATGCCAAAAAGAGGCAGTTCGACAAACCGAAATGTTCAAAATACCAAGATTAAACTAACACGCGTCCCATGTAACCGCTAATATAGACGAGGCTCGCCACCCCAAATATAGCAAGGCACAAAATTAAACAACAGATGCCATGCCTGCAAGAGGGCAATCCAAAAGGCAGAGCTCCGAGCAATGCAATAATCTTGGATATATGCTTCATTGGAAATAAAAATGCTCCCTTATACCCTAATAACCAGTACTCATTGGAAGCTCATGCAGCTGAGAATGTTGCGAAAACAATTCAAAGAACGCAGACCCAGAAGAATGCACCAGAAACCAAGCACAGCCGAAGAACTGGAAGCCAACTTGTTCGACCATATGTTGCCATCACGAAGACACATTTGGGTGGGGTTTGTTTCTCATTCGCTGCCATGGCTTTGTCAGCCACGGAAACTACTCAAAGCCCTTGCGCAAATATCATCCCCCAAATCATCATCTGGCAACCACTTTGGTTCCTCAATATTATGACTTTATTAAAAAAAAAGTATCCAAATCCCCGGAGATCAAAACCCTTAACCCCACAATTGAGTCGCCCAACGGTGGCGCCAGCGGCGATGCTAGGATTTAGAGGTTTACTAATTTGTGTTGTGCTGGCGAAAAGCAAAAGATTGAGTTGCCGAATCCTAAAGTAAAGACGAACTTTTCGTAGCGACAAGGAGGTTTACGGCCAAAGATCCGGCGTCCGATCGAAAATGAAACGGTATCGTTTTTTAGAAGTTCTATCTGGAGCCTGGAGTCTGGACGGCTCGTTCGTAAGGGCAATTTAGGAATAAGGAATGCCACGTGGAATAATATAAAATCTATACCCAAACAAGCCGTCGGTTTTCTGGTCTAGCCGAGAAATCTACTTCGTGCTGCCGACTGCTGGCGGTGGTGCCGGGAAGAAAGGGAGACGGAAGGACTATTACGTGGCGGAGGTTGATGATGAGGAGGAGAATAACGGCGGCGGCGGCGGCGGGGGGAGTAGCAGTGGGAAGAAGATGAGGAGAGTGGGTACGACGGGTATGGATACGGTTCGGGTGGTTCGTACAATGGTAAAGTTGGGTTTCATGGATCATTAGGTCAGTAGAAGAGGTGAAACTTTTGTTCTCTCGTTTCTATTCTCCTGCTGCTATCATTTTTCAAGTCATTTCAATTGTAAGAGTATGTTTAATGGCAAACTGGAATTGTTCTTGTATAGATATACATTTACTGGAAAACTGAAAAACAGCTATACATTTTCAAGCTCTGTCTGGCATATTAATGGTTGTAAGCTTTGGGTTAAAAGTTTCATAACGATGGTTGTATTGAATGGATTGTTTTCTGCTAATTGAGTTTGTTGCCATGTCTAAAAACTCAATCGGGTGAGGATTTTATCCGAGTTCCATGTATCGAATTGTTTGGTTTGAAATAGTTTTGATAATCAATGTGAAAGCTATGTCATTTCTCGCAAATGTTCCTTGATAGTTGCAAGTTTGGAACTTGGAGGTCTTAATATTTTGGCAGTATGATGCTGCTTCCATATCAATGATGTCTCAATATGGGGCTGAAGCATTTTGCCTGGCTTAATGTGGATTGTGTTGATATTTACCCTGAACTCTCGCAGGATCACTTTAGTCCAACTGATGATTCCATTTCTTAGATGGGAATACTGCCTCCACTATGTGTTTATACCTGAGATTGTTTTTAGTTACCCCTATTTGAGCCATTTCAAATTGCTAGACAGCTACACCCTTGGTTGAGCTATTGTTTTCAATGAAATGTGCCTCGTGGGCACTCAACAATATTGATTCAATAGATTACCTTCTCTTTCAAATAAAATTGCAAGGCTTCTATGTTGTGCAACTGGTCCCTTTGCTGATATAAAAAAGTTGAACGATTTCGAGAATTTGTGTTTCTGTTTCAGTTTAGTTGACAATTAACTTGAATGCTACTCAATTTAGTGATTTCAATCAGGTTGATGTGTTCTTTCAGAAGGATGAGAGGGGGATCCAGCAAATTGTTGTACGTTTTGGTCTATATATCATCATTTTCTCCTTATAAGCTGTATTTGCCATGTATGGTGGGTGCATCTACTGACATCCCCAAATTAGTGAGCTTGTTTCCAACAAATCCAGTTGAGTTGCTGAGATCAAGTCCTTGATGATTAGAGTTAGTAGGGACTTCATTTTGTGGATAGAAGGTGGATTCATTGCTTGAAGCCGTAAACTATAAGCATGCTTGAAGTCAGCTACAGTTTACTTGTTGACGAACATGGGTTCATACTTTGTCTCAACTTGAAAACTAGGTTTCTATTTTTTATATCTTTGTATGGTAAAATGTCTTGTCTCATAAGTCATATGTAATCCCTCCTTGATCTATGTTTGTTTTGCTGTCTGTGTGTTGTAATTGTCATGGCTCTATATTCTGCTCCTGCAGAGAATAAGACAGATGGAAGGTCTAGAGCTGACCGTGATGCAGATGATCAACAACTCAAACAGTTAGAGGAAAAGATGTGGTGTCATCCGTAGCCACCGTGCTATCTGATCTATGTGGGCCTGGAGAATGGATGCCTATGGAGAAACTCCATGCGGAGGTTAGTTACGATTCTGCAGTAGAAATCTTCCTATGATTACATGGATGTGTACATTTTTTCTTTCATTTGCATTTTTCTGTTGTTGGCACACCCCTTTCTTTAAGTTCCCAGGTCCTCCAGACACGGTCATCTCATCAATCCACTCAAAAAGATTCTGATTTGAAAGGAAAATGCATTTGACACATAAAAAAAATATCCTTACTCAGAGGATTTGTTCTATCATCTTGCATAATGAAAGAAAGGGATTCTTGTTCACCAAAATAGTGCTCTGCTACCTTTGATTCTACCCGTCATTGATTAGAGATGCTTAGCCTGCAATGAATAAGTATGTTGTTGAGCAAGATCATCAGAAGCTTATCAATAACCTCGTACAATTTTCTACCTGTGTTTCAGCTGCTGGAACAGTTTAGCAGTGTCTGGCATCACAGTCGAGTCAGAAGATATCTAACATCTGAGGAGTGGAAGAGCCCCGAAGCCAAAGAGAAACCATGGTACGGCTTGCTCATGTTGCTGAGAAGATACCCGGAGCATTTCGTCATAAACACAAGGTCCAAAGGCCGAGTCACCCTGGAGTTCGTCTCCTTAGTTTCACTGCTCTCATAGGGAGGGCCATTTAGAGCATTGCCTGGGATGGAGATTAATTAGAGCATGCTTATGTGTGAAGATGTAGTTGTAAACTAGGGCTCTTGTTGTAGTTTAGCGGGTAGTGATAATAGTCTTTGGCATACCTATCAGAGTTATGCAGTTTTAATCGTTCCCTCCTTCTAACCTGCCCCAAACTCTGTATCTACCCCAAACGACACCCAAGACTCAACTTATTGCGTGGAGCTTGCAATGCTGATTTTGTTTCAGACTTTACGTTTGGAGATGAATAGCCCCAAATTCTGGAGGTTGGCAGATAGCACGGTGATGGCAGCTGTAAACTCATACGAAAAAACTGTTTCGAGAAATCGCCTAATCTATGGTAAAAACTTGCGAATAACAATAAACTTGATATATATCAGAACAAAAACTTACAAATCCATAAGAACGACTTCCTGATAGTGACTCTACTTTATCTATATCGGAATCCAAACTACTCCATGTCTCGAATTTACCTTTAGTAACACATTAGATACTTGTGAATAAATCATAGAAGTTGAACCACGAACCCAGCAAAAAACTCGATACATTCCACTCCTGCTGGAAGTATCGTATGCCAGTATAGTGAAGTCGAGTAATCTATTATGGCTTGCAACTTCTTTTGTACAATATGAGAACTCACAGCTTGCTGAGTTACAGTTGCAGTGAAAGCCAGGCAGCTAAAACAAGCAAACAACTGGGACTCCGATAAAATTACGAAAAAGGGTTCTTGCTTTTTTAAGACTCTCCTTTCGTTAGTTTTGCAAGAGCTGCTCTTTGTGCGTGAAGTTGTTTCTCTCTAGCTTCTTTCTTAGCCAGGGCTTCCTCGTCGAGCACTTGTATGGGAAACCACTCAGGTAACTTCCACCCACCATCTTTGTTTTCCTCGCTGCCAAATATGGATTCTTTTAGACTCTTTAGTCTGGGTCTGAGTTTTATGGTAGCGAAATCAACTGAGGTCCCCGCAACAGCGAAGATGAAAGAGTAGCGAATAGCGCCGAGTTGGCCAGCTGCAACTCAGAAAACAGAAGCACTTCAGATTTCCAGAGACAGATAAGAGAGAGTCAAATAGAGGTGATAGGGTTTACCTTGAAAACGTCCAAGAAGAGCACCAGTACTGAAACCAGCAATGGCAGAGTTCAGCAGATCATCAGGGTCTGATTTACGTGTTACTCTTACGAACTCCCTTGCACCTGTAGATAAGCCGTTGCATTCCAGTTAGATCATGAATTGTCTACATAACATGTTGGCCCTTCAACAAAACGAATGGTGGACAAACTAGAGTTTTTATCACAAATCATACATCCAGAGCACCACTGATAGCTTATTACAGTTATCAATATCTTCCTCTCAACATAGTCTGTACTCTCACTATTACATGTCTTCAACTCGAAATGGTCCTGGCTGGCGCCACTCATCCAGTCTAATGGAAAATCTAATTAGAAGTCTTATTTACCTGCTTTCTTCTAGATGTGAGTGGACATGAAAATAGTGAATTCCTACAAGTTTCTGAAGGATATCATTCAACTCAGTACTTACATTACATATCACTCTAGCGGTCCTCGAAATCTCATTGGCATTCCCCCACAAAACCAAATTGTGCGAGCTGCCAGGCATACTTGGCTGATGCAGCTTTTTTATCCAACGAAATGCAGAACAGGAGAATGAATTCAACCAATTCCAGGAGAAAGCGAAATCCTTCCCGACATGTAAGCATCAATCATGCAAATGTTTCAAGATGGAGGGGGAGTCGCCAACAAAATGGTAACAGTAAATCAAGAAGTATCCCCCCTAAGAATTCCCCAGAGCACCGTAACTTTCTTGTTAAGCCATTCTATACAAACAAAATATCAGAAACCCTTTGAACATCTAAAGATCTCCCATGGAATTTTCCTCTGTTGGGATTTCAGCTAAAGCAAGTAAGCCTCCATAATCAAACCCTGGCACTAACCTAGGACACTAACCATCAATGGTGGAAGTTCGTTTCATTTTCATAGAGGTGCTACAATACAAGCCCAACAGGAATGGAAATTCCAGAATAAGAAGGGGAAGATCTTTACCGCAGTAGCAACCAGTGACGATGGCGAAATTAGCAGCGTAAGCAGCAGAAACGTGAGGGAACCCTTGCACTGTCCGTTGCTTAGATACCAACCCGAATCCTCCGCCACCAGCTCCTGCCGATCAAAAACCAAAGGGTCCTTCAATTACACTGATTTCAGACAAAGAGGCGAGTAAAGGAGGAGAAGGTGAAGGTGAGAAATGACAATTAGAAAAACAACCTGCCAGAACTGTGGGGATTAATATACGCTCCTTCCAATTCTCGGAGAACGAAGGAGAAGGTGATCGCCGCCCGGCCAGCGGTGGTGTATATCCGGCGTCTCCATCTTGCCGATTTGAATCGCCTGAAGCCATTTTGCCGTGATGCAGCTTCTGGAATCAGCTCGACTAAACTCCACCACGATTGTTCGAAGATCTGGAATGAACGCAGAGTGTTGAATCGGTGACGATGGCGGCAGCCTTGCCTGGGCCGTTTTTGGGCTGGGCTAGTGTTAAGCTAATTGCTTGCTTAAATGGACCTGGAGCGGGTTCGGTAGCTAATCGATTAACTAGGCCTAAGGTGAAACAATTCTCGACCCATTTTCAACAATTGACTTGATTGTAGTCAACGGTTGACCTGCTTATGAAATTTTCAACCCTTTTCAGTTTTCAGGTAAAAATTAAGAACCCGACCTTAGTCATAGCCCAAGAGTCCCAAGTTAATCGCTTTTGGGCATGGAAACTTGAACTTCAAGTAATTAGCCCCCAGCAGGCCAGCACTGCAACTGAAACATCAGAATAAGCAGAGTTCTCAAGTGCTGGGCAGCGAATGAACAGAATTCACATACAAAACTTTCCAGATTTTAACCATTTAGTCATGTGGAGAGGATCATTACAAGTAAAGATCAGTCCTTTCGCGCCAAATTGCAGGCACATCATCCATGCGAATAGTAGAACGAAACCAGTAGAGTGTATCAACATTCCTCAAAAATAGCAGTCAAGCTTTATTCATTATCAACAACAGCAACAAGCTGACATGGGGGTAAGTAAAGCAGCCTTTGAGCTAGCTGCTCGAAGAATCTGCCTCATCTGTCTATACAAGGAAAACCCTCCCTTCGAAAAAGACAATCAGAAACACATACCCTTCTTCTCAGGTGGCATAGTTTCTTCAGAAAAGAGATTCTATGAACAAGGTAACAAAACCTGAAGAATGAGTTACAGCTCTCTATACATGAAGTGCCTGTTACTGTAAATTTGGGCATCAGCATCTTGGAGATCAGCACAGGATCATCTACATGAGCTTGTAGTAACAGCTGGTTCCAGAGAGAAGAATCTGATACCCTTTCTTGCATGGACACTTGAAGTTTATGATCAAGCATTCACCTGTTCTCTCCACATTCACCGACTCTTCACAACCTGCAGACTCTTTGCCATCCTGCCATGAACCAGAAAAAAAACAATCCCACCACATTCATCATCTACCACTTAACCCAAGATGCAATTCCCTGAACACAATCAACTCAATCAATTCAACAATGAAACTAACTTAAGCAGTATACCTTAACTGCATTAGAGGCATTGTCATCATCATCGGGGACCTTCTTCTCTGCCTGGTCGACTACTACTGGCATCTCATCAACAGTGTGAAATTCATCCCACCACTTAGCTACCTCCTTGATCCAATTCCCCACTGCCTTCAGCTTCTAGCATTCCATACATAACACTGGTTTTAAGTTCATCTATCCCCAATTCACAGGGAATAACTGATTTTCCCAGCAAAGAAACGACTAATAATGGCATAACCCAATTCAAGAATCGAGAAATGGGATTAACAAGAACTCAGGATAGAAGGATAATTTCTTTGCCTGACCTCTTCATGGTGCGGGGTATTGCCTGAAACGGCGTCGCTGGAAGTTGAAGGAGCCGGTTTATCAGGCGACGGTAGCGACCACGATCTCCTCAACGGCGGCAGGGGAGGGCGGGAAGCGGATCCCGGTGTCTTGAAAGACGGCGTGGGCGAATCGTTTGGGACGACGTTACTGGTGGCCGGCGATTGAGGAATTAAATTTTGAGAAGAACCGCAGCGGAGATTGGGAGAGACGGCGGCGACGAGGGCGGGGGATCCCGCTGGTGGTGGAGAAATCGATTGGGCGGAGAGAGGGAGAGCGATCTTAGAGAACCCCGGCGGAATGACGACGCCGGCGAGGGTTTCGGGAGAAGATTCGGAGAAGAGTTTCTTGGGCCTCTTGGCGAGCTGGAATCGGGAATCGCGGTCTGGGTTCTCCATGCCGGCGGCGGCGGGGGGCAGAGGAGGGGTGGAGAAAGATCCCACGTCCGACGATCGGCGCTTGTTGTTTCTGGAGGAAGAGGGGCCGCCGGAGCAACCGCAGGATTGGCAAGGGGAGTGAGAGGAGTGGGAGTGGTGGTGATGGTGGTCGTCGGAATTCAATCGGAGGACAGCGAAATCGATGGATTCTGCTGCTTCATTGGTTTCCTGGATCTGCTGGATTTCTTGATTGAGGAGTTCTCCTCCGCTCATTTCTTGGACCTGAATCGATTCCATCGAAATGGCGCTCTCTCTCTCTATCTCTCTGCTTCACTGGAACAGAGTAACTGTCTAACAGAGTGCTAATAAGTCGGGGTTTAGTAGAGGGTTTATTTTCGTTGCTTCGAGAACAAGCCATCCAAAACGGCAGTTCATAAGGACCTCATTTCATTAGTAAATAAAAAGGTGTGAAAATAAATTATAAAAACATAAATGTTTTATTATCCAAGAAATCAAAACTTTTAGAATCAGGGTATATATGGATATGGTGAGTAAATACCTAAGTTATTGTGTAATATACTTTTAAGATCATACACAAAGAAAATGAAATGCCTGAAAAAGTTGTGATGTTGCCTTAATTTACTTTTGACGAGTTCACATGCATGGAAGTAGAATAAAAATATACATACTCTAAATTAGAAATTGATGTAAAAGCACAAGTAATGATCACAGCTAACTCCGATTTTCTCGGAGCGTTTCCCTGGAAGAGAAAAACCCTAGCGCACCCTTGCCGCCGATGAGCGAGGCCATGCCGGGGGCCCCTCCCCCGGCCAACCCTCTGCCGGACCTGATGGCTGGCCAACGGCGCCCTCCTACGGCGTCATCCTCGCCTAATGGCAAAGGAGACTCTGAAACCCAGCATGCGAAGAAGAAAGCTAGACCGATGTGTGCGAACCCTCTGTTCGTTGACGACGAGATGGTAGAAGACGAGAACCAACCCGACGCTGCAACCACACAGGGGCCAGGCGAGACTATGAAACAAGCACCGACCTCACCAATGGCTTGGGGCAGGGGTGGGGGTGCAAGGAAGTTGTTTTCGGACGTACTGACGGACGATTCTTGGTACGTTGCGGAGTCCGACTCCGAAGACGTCGCCGCGGCCATGAGAGAGGATGATTTGGACGATGAGATCCCGGAGGGCGACGACCCACGGTGCCCTACGATTCCCTTCACGTCCATGGAGAAGCAACGATACCGAAGGAAGTGGCGATCAGCGCTTATTGTGAAAGTTTTGGGACGTACATTCCCGTTCCCGGTCATATCTAGGCGGCTGGAGACTCTGTGGGCTAAGGATGGATCACTGCAGATCTCGAGCTTATCATATGGGTACTATGTGGTGCGGTTCACTCACCAGATGGATTTTGAACAGGCAAGACTTGGCGGGCCATGGCTTATTGGGGAGCACTATATCACTGTCCGACCATGGAGGAAGAACTTTGACTCCAAAATGGCGAAGGTTGCGTCCACATTAGTTTGGGTGAGGTTACCAGAGCTACCTGTGGAGTTTGTGAACCAGGAGGCGGTAGAACGGATCGCCTCTAGAATTGGAAGACCTGTGAAGGTCGACAGAGCTACTATGGTTGGGGACAGGGTCAAGTTTGGACGCGTTTGCGTTGAAATCGACCTAAACAAGCCGCTGCTATCCATGTATAAGATCGAGGGTAAAACGTACTATGTCACGTTCGAAGGGTTGCATAACATCTGTACGGAGTGCGGGAAGTATGGTCACTCTGACAAATCATGTCCTCTCCTCCGGAAAGAGCAGCCTGTGCAAACACAATCGGAGCCAGGGTCGGATGCGACGGGCAAGAAGGAGGCTGTGTATGGGGAATGGATGATGGTCAAGCCTCGGAATGAGAAGAGGAAGGCTCCACAAGGAAGGGAGGCGGCGAATACGGAAAAGACTAACGCCAGTACTGGGAAGGGGGAAGGGGGCTCTAGGTTCTCAGTCCTCGACCAACAAGAGACCCCGCTTGCTATGGACTCGGATCGGGTAAGTAACACGGAGGCCCAGGAACCCCACCACCACACAAGCGGAGATGCACCTGAACGCCGATCAGTGGACAACCACGACAAAGACAAAGGCAGGGATGGCGTTACACCTCCCGATACTCAAACAGTGGCTCGGTCCACGATATCCCCTACTACTACAGTAGCGGAGCAAACTCTCCACCACCCTGTGCCGAGCAAGACAAGCGCACAAAAAGTGATGCCAGTTACGACCCAAGGAACTCCCAACGGCAGTGGGATGATGAGTGGGGATAAGACGGTTTCGCGGCAAGAATTAGTTGATGTTCCGGTGGTTCAGGCTGACGGGACACGTGCGGCTCGACCTCCTATCGTGCCTGATAAACCCAAGCAGCCAAAGGACCCAGGCAAGCGAGGGAAGGGGTCGGGGAAGCAGGAGCACAATAAAACCAATGCGGGTAAAGGCAGCAAGTCAGAAGCGGGCAAGGGCAAGACCACGGGGATAACCATCCCAATGGGTCCAGAGAACCACCAACCTTCCCCAGTGGATGCTCGTACACGCGTGGTCCTGATGAGGGGAGACAAGCTCCCAAACAACTTGGCGCATTAGCTGCGCCTGTGATCCTAGCCAGGGAAGTTTCCGTTCCTTTTGCGTGGGTTTTAAGAGTGCATTTCGTTTTGGATTCTAGTGTAATGTTAAATATCTTAGCTTGGAATTGCCAGGGGGCGGGAAGTGAGAGGTTTTTAACTTTTTTGAGTAGTTTTAGAATGGCCACTAAGCCGGATATTGTGATAGTTGTTGAACCACGCATCAGTGGTGAGACAGCTCGCACAGTGATCCGACGAACGGGTTATGATGGACGGCTGATTATGGATGCTGTTGGTTTTTCAGGGGGTATCTGGGTGCTGTGGAGCAGACAGGAGCTTGAGGTTGAAGAAGTCACGTCTTGGGAACAGATGATTCATGTCAAGGTTTGCAGGAGGCAGAAACCGGAGGAAGTGGTGGCAATCTCTGCAGTTTATGGTAGCCCGAATGCAGCCAATAGACAAGATCTCTGGGAGGAAATCTGTCGACTTGCAGAAAGTTGTGAGATACCGTGGGCCCTGGTGGGCGATTTCAACTCGATCCTAGGGCCTCTGGACAGATGTGGTGGGGTGAACTATCAAGCTGCGCGATGCCGCCCCTTTAGAAACTGTGTTGATGCGAGCGGGCTCTTGGAGGTAGACTTTACAGGACCTAGGTTCACTTGGAAGCGGGGTAACTTGAAGCAAAGGCTGGACCGTGCTTTGTGCAATGAGAAGTGGATCACGAAATACCCAAGAACCATAACTCGCCACTTGGAAAGAGTGGGTTCGGACCACAGACCGATCCTACTGGAAGGTGCGAGTGGGAGGGACTCACGACCAGGACCGAGACCTTTTAGGTTCTTGGCGGCGTGGTTAGGTCATGAGGATTTCGATAGAGTCTTGCTCGAGGGCTGGTCAAGGGGAGGGAATTTCACTCAATCCACTGCCGCTTTGACACAGGAACTGCAGCATTGGAATTGGCATGTTTTTGGGCACATACAGCGAAGGAAAAGGCGCCTAGCTAAAAAACTAAATGCAGTGGAGCTGGTTAATGAGAGGGGAGCTACTCCAGCCTCGCTAGAACAAGAGGCCAGCCTGCGGAGTGAGCTAGAGGAGACTCTAGTGCAGGAGCACCTCCTATGGCTCCAGAAATCTCGATCCCAATGGACAGTTCAAGGAGACCGGAACACCCGGTTTTTCCATCTCATTACTCTGAAGAGGAGGAGTTTCAACAGAATCCGAGGACTCAAGAACGGGGAAGGCGTTTGGGTTTATGATGAAGCACAACTCCGTAAGATGGCACGGGATTTCTATGTGGAGTTGTTTCAGGGCGAGGCAATAGATCAACCGCTACTCCCTATGAGTTTTGAGGCCATCGATCCAGCACTTTGGGGCAGTTTGGAGAGAGAAGTGTCTAGAGAGGAGGTTTGGACTGCAGTGAAGAGCATGGGTGGGTTTAAGGCGCCGGGGAAGGATGGTTACCCTCCTCTCTTCTATCAAAAATGCTGGGGAGTAGTGGCAGAATCCTTTGCTGATTTCGTGGGAAACTTGTTTGGGCAGCCGGACAATATTGCTGAGGTGAATGAAACCTTGCTGGTGCTCATTCCGAAGAAAGAGAGCCCCGAGCTCATCAGCCAATTTCGACCAATAGGGCTATGCAACGTGGTGTATAAGTCTCTGGCCAAATGCCTGGTGAATAGAATCAAACCGCTGATGCGGAGACTGGTTCATCCCACCCAGTCGAGCTTCGTTCCTGGTAGACACATTAATGATAACATTATTATCTTGCAGGAAGCGGTCCACTCGATGAGGATTAAGCAAGGAAAGCGGGGATGGATGATCTGGAAAATCGACCTCGCTAAAGCTTACGATCGGGTGGACTGGCATTTTCTGCAGGAAACTCTTCAGGGAGCTGGCTTCCCAGCGCATCTGATCGGGGTTATCATGAATTGCGTCTCAACAACAGCAATGCAGGTCATGTGGAATGGGTGTGCTACGGAGGTTTTCAAGCCTACAAGAGGGTTGAGACAGGGATGCCCCCTGTCTCCTTATCTCTTCACCCTTTGTATGGAGCGCCTCAGTCATACGATCATGAATGCAGTCAACGGTGGCGTATGGAAGCCGATGATTTTAGCCCCAGGTGCACCCCCTCTGTCTCACCTGTTTTTCGCTGATGATCTAATTCTGTTTGCAGAAGCCAGTACAGGGCAGAGTCGAGTTATTATGGACTGCCTGGATTGGTTCTGCAAGGCGTCGGGAGAACAAGTGAGCAGGGACAAGTCGGTTATGTTCTTCTCAAAGAATGTGTCGAGACAGGCAAGCAGTTCCATCGCTCGAGAGACGGGGATCCCTGTCACGCAGGACTTGGGACGGTACTTAGGTGTGCCAGTGCTTCATGGTCGGATTACAAAGGAAACCTACAGGTACATTTTAAACCGAATGGACAAGAAGCTGGCTGGCTGGAAGGCCGATAACCTTTCCTTTGCTGGTCGGGTAACTTTGGCGACCTCGGTTCTGAACACCCTGCCGACGTATGCTATGCAATCCACATTGCTACCAATATCCATATGCGATGAGATTGACAAGAGGATACGCCAGTTCATCTGGGGATCATCAGCGGCAAAGAGAAGGGCGCATTTGGTTCATTGGGAAGCTGTGTGCAAACCGAAGAACGAAGGGGGTCTGGGGCTTCGTAAAGCTCATGAGCTTAATATTGCGTTTCTAACTAAACTGGCTTGGTTATTTGTTAAGAAACCGGAAGAGCTTTGGGTGCAGATCCTGCAGGCAAAGTATTTCAAGAAGGTCCAAGGACAGCTGGTGCTGAAATCCAGTGCTCGGAGCTCTACTGTCTGGAGGGGGATGAGAAGAGCCTGGCCGGTTATGACGGAGGGCATGCGGATGAGCATCAAGGACGGCTGCACTACGTCCTTCTGGCTTGACCGATGGGTGGATAGCGGAGAGATTCTTATTGACCATGTCTGCGAGGGAAACACGCCGACAAATCTGCAAGCCCCTGTAGCGGACTTCGCCACGGCGGAGGGTGGCTGGGATACTAACTTGCTTCGGCTATATCTTCCGGAAAGTGTTGTTTTGCAGGTGCAGGGTATTCAACCACCAAGGACGGGTGCAGGAGAAGACGTGGCAACCTGGGGGCCTGAGACGAACGGCAAATTCCGTGTCCGATCGGCGTATGACCTGGCGACCAACCATGACAGCCCGAGGAGGACTTTCGAGTGGAAGGACATATGGAAATGGGAAGGACCAGCTAGAGCACAACACTTCCTTTGGCTTGCGGCGAGGGAGAGACTCATGACGAATGCAGAACGTGGAAGGAGACACTTGACGGACCAGATCATGTGCCCTCACTGCTTTTCACACCCAGAGACAATCCTGCATGTGTTGCGGGACTGTCAATTTGCCAGGTTAACTTGGATGCGTTTGCTCCAACCTTCTGACTACCAGCAGTTTTTCGGATTACCTCTGCAGGAATGGATCGCTCGATACTTGAAGCACGATCACTACAGCCTCATGTTTGGCCTCGTTTGCTGGTCCCTGTGGAGGACCAGAAATGACCGAGTTTTTGCGAATAAGGTCATCACGGTTGAAGGCTTTTTTCAGCGCGTCCATGCATGGATAACTGTCGTGAGGATTGCTTTGGACAAGGACAGGAAAACTCACTATCATGATCCGCCCACAAGAACGGAGGAGTTGATCGCTTGGACGCCGCCTCCTCCCGAGTGGGTCACTCTCAACTCAGACGGCTCCGTTCTACCTGAGACGGGTCTTGCTGCTGCAGGAGGCCTGATCAGGGATCACCTAGGACGCTGCATGGCAGCGTTTGCTATGAACCTGGGAATTTGCTCCATTACCCGGGCAGAGTTGAGAGGCGCTGTTGAAGGGCTTCAACTGGCTTGGGACATGGGTTACAGACATGTCCGCATGGAGCTTGACTCCCGGTGCGCTATTCAGCTGATTCAGGGAGAGGATACTTCAGACCACCAGCACGCGGCGATCATCGACCGTTTCCACGAGCTTCTTCGGCGTGACTGGGACGTTACAGTTTCCCACATCTATAGAGAGGGGAACAAGAGCGCCGACTTCCTTGCTTCTAGAGGCCATCAGTTCGATGTTGGTTTCCATTTTGTACCTGTTACTGATCCTGCTTTATGGTTCTATCTCCTGTATGACATTGAAGGGGTTTCCGAATCCCGGCTGGTTTTGAATGAAGGTTAGGATGCTTCGCATCCATTTATCAAAAAAAAAAAAATATACATACTCTTATTCGTTGTCAGAACGTTGGTAGTTTCAGACTAGTGGATTGTGTAATTGGGACGACTCTCCTTTTGAAAAATTTTGAATTTTCAACTATTTGCATCTCGTTTCAAGACGCGGAATCCCTAAGATTCCTTGATGGTAGGGGGCTTATTTGGGGTTTGCCCTTCATCCTAAAACACGAGTATATTTACTTGCCTTGTGGTCTTTGAAAGATTCGGCTAGAAGTATGAACCGCGAAAATAGAGTTTTTGTTTGTTTGTTGTGTGATCAAAGACTCATATACGAGAAAAGCACGTAATAAAAGCATACAATGAGCTCCATCAATGGTGGACTTGCCCAGGACAAAAAGCTCAGGCGCCATCTCTCAATACTCAACTCGAAGCACACTCATCGTAATCTTCCCCACTGCCCTCTAATTAGAGACTCGATAGGATGGTCATCTAAACGATTCCAAGGAGGCAGGGCTATGGCGTTGTCGTTATCTACAGTCATGGACAAGTGTATGATGCGAGAGCGGGTAAGTTGCTATGTTCATCTCCTACGATGGTAGAAGTGAAAGCACTACCGATAGAAATTCGAAGGAGTTTGCGACTTTCAGACTTTGTGTATCAAAAAAATGATATTTAGCTCCACTACTAACATCAAGCATAACTCAATCAATTGACCAAATGACTGCACCACTAACCTCAACTACAAATCAATCGAACTTCCTATTTGAGAAGCAGTGAGTGAACTGTGGAATGGAGTTTGACCAGATTGACCAAAATA